ATCATTAATTTCACGTTGGGTTGTAAGAAAAATGACTTGTACAACAGGTGCAAAACTAGGTGGTCGCTTGTGGCATCAGTATTCATTCTTACGATCCATTACGATCCATCAGACGTTATACGTTAGGAATAGAGGTAGAGTGGGTGCCCCAAAAGCAAACAGCAAGATTCATTACTATCCACCCACATCCAGTCATATCCGCTCATATCCACACTATCCAGTCATATCCAGTCATATCCTCGATCATATCCAGACTATCCACTGCATATGTTTTTTTAATGCACATGTTTGCCAGGTTGCAAGGTTGGGGCTGGGGCGTATGGGCGCCTGTAGAAAAATTGTTCTAGAAAGTTTTCCCCATCAGTTTCAGTATGACAACTTTTTGGGGTGTTTCCTGGGATTATGGACAGCACATTTATGAAAAGAAACCTTTGTTACGAATTTATTCCCAGATGGACCAATAAATTGCAATTATTACCCTAACTATATAGTATATACATCTTACTAGTTTCAATGTAAAATTATATGACCTGTATTTCCAATTGTTTTCCCAAATCCCTAACAGTACACTGATCCCTACAAGAGAATGTCCGGTCCTCCAGAACCACCAGCTTACACCTTCCTGGAACTGTTTGTAGACAAACCCACAATAGTCCTGACACTTGGGGTGATAGCGTTCCTCCTCGGCGCAACTGCTATCATCTCCAACTCCTGTGTCATAGTGTTCTACATGCCCAACTACAGGAACGTGTATCCCATGCTGTATCTCTGTAATTGTATCTGTGATGGATTCGCAGGTATTGGGGCTATCTTAGTTGGGGTTGTTCTTGTTCAGCTGTATCAAGAAGAGGAGACAGATACGATCATCAAGAGGGAGCCAGGTGATGTGACGTCATCAAGTCTGGATGAAGAATCCCAGCCAAGTACCACCCTGATAGGAACAATATTCTGCATAGTGAACATCGCAATCAGAGTCTCAGTTATTTGCAGTCTGACTGTCTCTGTAGTCAGAGTCATCCATATCGTGTGGGTGCAGTACAAAATCCGCTACCGGATCGTACTGGGAGCAATGATAAGTGTCTTGCTGTTCTGGATCGCCTTTATTTCAGCTGAACTTGTCTTGACTCTTCAAGGAACCGGTGGACCAAAAAAATGTGGCATTGATGAAAATGAAATAAGTTTGCGCCAAAAATTAAAGAAGCCTCACAGATTTGGCCCGAAGGATAGTAAGGTACCAACCCTTCCCTCTTCACAAGAAATGATGATAGAGCAGCTGTTTCTCCAGCCATTTGTAGGAAAAGAGATCTTGTGTAAGCTAGCAGACGCAATAAACAAGCCTTTGCCCATGGAGTTGGAAATATTTTTAGTCGAAGTTGTCCCGTTCGTCATACCAGTGTTTCTGGCAACATTTCTTCTGATTGCCACTGCATACAAACTGCTAAGCAGTCCAGTGGGACAAAACAGCGAGGTCAGCAGGAACATCACTGTAACCGTCTTCTGGCTGACCTTCTTCCACGTCCTCTGTAACCTTCCATTTTTTGTGGTCCTGTGTGTCCTCGGGCATCCTGACTTTGAGAACACTGATAACACCCATTTGGTTGTTAGGTTTGTGGCTGGGACTATTCTACCTTTTCTGAGTGCTTGCTTGCTTCCTGGAACACTGATCGTGCGGGGAAGCAAGATTAAACAGTTTTATTCAGACAAGATTGTGAATAGTTTACAAGGTGGTAAAGTTGGACAGTCAGGAAATAGTGAGAGTAAGGGAAATCGTGAGAATATGGGAAATAGTGAGGATACGGGAAATATTGTAATTGAGAATAAGGGAATATGAGAGAGTTGGGGACACATTTAAAATACTATTGCATCGATAAGGGATTTGGTAAATACTGAATCCTTTATGATCTTATTCGAGTCCAAATTTAAACCACACCAGTTAAATTCTTAATTTATTATGCATGTTGACAATTTATTGAGTAACTAATTTCAGCCCTACAAATTCTGGGTTAAAGTTTGATTATCATATTAATGTTTGGTCCGGATTTGTCAGTTGTAAATTCCATCGCATTATTGTATACTCAATCAAATTAAGCTGTTTAGTTTCTGCTGATTGATTTTGATGTTATGTATGTAAAATGATTATCTTATCAGTTAAAACTCACTATTGAACATGGTTTTGAATTGCGATCTTTGAGACATAATATATGGCCCATTATTTGTTTCTCGTTTATACTCGACTCTATTCTCAACTTATAAAAGAAGATTTAGCAGGGAACCGCGCATTAGAGTTTAGCAAATAGCACATTTAAGCCGCTACACAGCTAGGTAACAAAAAAAGATCTACTTCGTAACTAACTTCGCTAGATATAAAGTATACATATATAAAGTATATATTATATAATATACTATATTATGAGTATTGCTGAAAGCACAGTGTAAGGCCTACACGGACCGCCTCTAACTAGCCAATCCCTGTTTACATGCCGTGTAGCAGGGGACTATATCTCTACTATAATTCAAAGAATTGTTTTTGTTGTCTGTATGTACGACCGCCCACGTGCAAATTATGTAAACAAATCCAATTACATCAAACGTTGGCATGGTACATACATTTTAATGTGATCGCACGTGCAGAATTTGCGTGTGAATGATTGAATTCTAAGACGCGCTAAAACTATGCTAAAACTCTTCCTGGTATATATATAAAGGGGCTTGCATTCGAAATAGTGTCGAGAACAAGGAAATTTTAAGAAAATAGTTTGGTTGGAAAATTGAAAAATAGTTGTGGGTCCGTTAGTGAGATATCCATTGAATGGCCATACTGAATTCTTCTGTCTCAGCAAACCACCACTCTACATTGTATTGACGTCTCTTCTATCTCAAAACCAATCGCTGGCCCCCACAAACCTCCTTTTTAGAACCCACTGCATTGCCAAAATTGGCCAAAAAACCTCAGATTTAGGAATGGACTCAACTCTCAAGCACTTTTGTCAGAAAACAGCAGACAGGTCAATCATGATAAACACAGATTCATACATACTATTATTTTTGCAGAAAAATCATCTCAGAATATTTCTAATGAATTCAACGTTTTAAAAATCCCAAAATAAAAAATAAACTAAACTAAGGCTAGATAGTACTGCTCCTTCATTGTTTTTTCTTAAATGTAATCGTTCGATATCGTAAGATTGATCTAAACCACATTCGTTTCGACTTTGGGAGACATTTTCTTCGATGCTATTACTCCCGCTGTGACAGATTTGCACTTAAAAATGTTTCTTATTTTTCGGAAGACGATAACCCTGAGTGAGTTGGTTGTGAGAAGGTAAACTAGTGGGGAGCAGCTGATCATCACCTGAAGTAGAGAATAAAACAGGTCGAACAACACGGAAACACCCCCTCCCTCCGCAAGCATTTCTGTCACCTCAACCTCAAACAGCATCATGGCAGCCCAGGGAAGTGTTGTAGTGATGGACACAGCTAAAATGGCAATAATCGACCATGGGAAGGATCTCCGCTCTGTTTTCTCTTTTCGGCCGGCTTTACTTGTGCCAGTTGAGGTGGAAGATGATGAAGTCGAGGAGAGTTGTTTGTGAGATTTTCTAGCCTTAAGAGCCAAATTGTAGATGTAGCCGTATAGGCAAATCACTGCCAACACAGGAAGAAGGAACCCTACTGACAGCAGTATGCTGAAGAAGATTGTACATGCTGGCTTCTTTTTGTCTCCTTGAGTACAGAATACTAGCCCAGATTCGTTATCTCTTATATGTTCCGCTGGACAAAGCCCAAAAAGAGGTATTGCCGAAATGAGGCTGCATATCAGGCATGCAGCACCAAAGCCAAGAAGCTGGATCTTTAACTTTAAGTAGTGTAGATACGATAGAGGGTAAGTCAGAAAAACACTCCGCACGATAGAGATGATCATGATGGTGTATCCGGGTAGGATGATGGTAAATGCTTGTACTGCTAGTTTTATTTGGCACCTTGTTTCAGATCCTCCAGAGAAGGCCAGCTCCACAATCCAGGATCCTGTCAGAGTTACCAAGAGGAGGAGCTGAGATATCAGGTAAAAGATTACTGAGATGTAGATTTCTAGAAGAGATCTGAAATGCTTGTAGATTATGTAGAGCGAAATAGCGGATGAAGCTATGAGGGAAATGTAGCTTGGGATTATGATCCATGGAGTCACCTTTAGGTTATACTTTTGGTTAAAAGGATTCGGGGCATCTTCGCTGTCGTCTGGTATGACGAATGGTCTTGAGGCCGATGATGTTGAGCCCTCTGTCCAGACCGATGATGTTGAGGTTGATGTCCAAGCAAATGTCGTTGAGCCTACACTAGAATATGTAAAAAATTGACTCATTAAAAACAGAGCAATCTATTAGAAATTTTTAGAATAGCTCACTGAAATTTGACTTGGTTAACAGAGTACCTTCTTATTAAACTATTTTTAATTCTTTAGCTAATTGGCGCATGACCTAGTTAGTGTAGTAACACCTGCTCCTTCATGTGCCGTAAATAAACGGTTGAATCTTTATCAGATGGCATGTGCTCTAAATGTGCTCACGACTCATTGTGTTAAGGATAATATCGGTAATTTGAGTTTCACCGAAATAATCACGACAAAAAATTTGCGGTTTTTCTGCTGGTACCATTTTTATATCATCGCAATGATTTGAAGACTAATCCCCTGGAAGTTTTGCTGTGCAATAAAATTAAGTATAAACTATACGATGAAGTATGAACACGTGTCACGACTAACTAAGTGCAATGACTGAATTTACGCGGTGCGCCCATTTCAGTGATTAGTCAGGCTACAATGGATATAAATTTATAATTATAATCAGTTGGTGCCCATGCCCTATGGTAGTATCGGTTAATGGTTATGATGCGATGAGGGATGAAGTCTAGCTACTATTACTCATTTGATGTACCTTTTGCTCGACGTAACCGAAACAATATACTCAAATTATCAATATTTTCTGTGAAATTACAAAACATACCTCTCTTTCGACAATCTCGAAGTTCCCTCTGTCGCGATGGTAGCACTCGACCATGTCAAAGAAGATGGGGATAACTTCTTTTCTAAGCGACTCCAACGGTACCAGAGTTACTTCCAGGAAAGGACCGACAATGTCCGGTATAAATATCTTCTTGTTGTCACCTGAGTAATAGAATGTACTAATGTAATAGAATCGAGGGTTAGGGCGTAAAAACTTGTCGATTTTACAAGATAAGATAACATAAGATAATATTACTAATTTGTACGGGTATCGGCCTTACAAAATGACAGGCCTCACAAAATGACAGCCCACATAGACCATGCTGTAGCTTAGGTTCCCTATACATTGAACCCTATTCCTTTTACTGTATGAAAGAAAAAGCATTAATTAACACTTCCCAAGGAATGATAATGAGTTTTGAATTTAACCCCAGAAAACCAGGTACTACCATGACTTATGTCAATCAAAGACTACTCTGGTCAAATAAAAAAACTGATTTAGTGACTTTGGTAGAAGAAATGACAAAAAAATGACCTAGCCTCACAAAATGACAGTGTTATGCCTCACAAAATGACAGTTTTATTTTATGATACAAAGATGGCATATTTATATTGGATGCCCCTTGCCTAATTATTGGTATTCTTAAACCCAGTAAGCTCATGATGAGCCTAAATGTGTTTGTTTGATCATCAATTTTGATCAAAATGCCTCACAAAATGACACCGAAAAGCCTTACAAAATGACAATGTTTCAGATTGAATTATTTTCATCATCTTAAATGGATCAGAGACAGTCAATACAAGAAGGAGTTAAAAATAATCATAATCTGACAGTTAACAATCAAGTAGCATTAAAAAAGTGCAGTTCTGATATCAAAACTTTTATTTCAAACTCTTTGATTTCAAACTCTGATTTCAAAACTCAACGAAATAAAGCTTCTATTTTGTGAAAGCAGAGAGTAATAACAACTCCTAAAACATGTCAAACGTTAACTAAACACTGAAAAGTGATCTATCCAGTCATAGAAAATATCAAATATAACCAAATACTGTGTTCAAGTATGAAAACAAAAAATGATTTTTACGCCTCACAAAATGACATTTTTTAAATTTTTTCAAAGTATAAAAAATGTTCCTTTTTAAATATATTTTGGTAAAAACAGAACTGGTATAATATAAACAACATATATATCTAACAGTAAGACACGTGAAAGAATAATGAAACTTTTTCCCAAATCGGATTTGAAGTGATGCCGTTTTGGGTTGTCATTTTGTAAGGCACTATCTCACGCGAAATTGCCCAACATTTTTTAATCATCCTTTTTCCTGTAAAAGCTATTCTAATCTTCAATCTATTATATTTATCTAACTGTCCTAGGTGAAATCAAATTTCTATAGGCTGCTGTTAAAAAATGACAGCCGTGACGAAATTGTCATTTTGTAAGGCATGTTTTTTTGGAAGATTTCAAAGATGACAATTTTTATCGCAAAATTTACGGGGTTTCAATCAAATCAACCCCCGGGAAGAAAAATATACCTGTTGAACTACCTATCTGGATAATAAAACATGAACAAAACTCATTTTTGTGCATTTTAGAGCCATCTCCTTTTTCGTGTCATTTTGTAAGGCCGATACCCGTAAGATTTAATGTTACATATATAGAGAAAAGATTTTTCATTTTAATCTGTCGAAAATCGAAACTCTGTGGGATAATTGTCGATTGTCGAATACTGATGACCGCACAAGAATTATCATCTTTCCATCAACCCAATAGTTAGCTTTACTCCGCCTCCATATTTCAATACTCCCAATACAAATAGTGACTTGTTACTCAGCAACACTGAACTCACCTAGTTTATTGAGCATTCGGACCATCTCCTGCCCCATCTCGCTCCTCATGTCACCGTACTGTCCAGCGATCTTCTGACGTTTGGTCTCCCGGAACTCCTCGAGTTGCAAGGACTCTTGAGTGATGAACCCGACACACAAGTAGAAGAAGTTCTCCCACAGCTGAAATTATTGGGTGGTTAAGAACAGCCTTTTTATTTCTTTTTTATTAACTTAATTTTTATTGTACGTGATTCTGTATACGGTGCACATGGTAGGTGATGCTACCACATTATTATATGGATATTACTTTCAAAGATAAAGATAGGAAAAGTATCCAGCTGGTCGAAATGGTCGTACCAAAAACCTAACATCATCCATTTTGCCATAACTTTTCGGAAAAGCGGTTTTATGCTATGCCTTGGGGGATGATTCGGAATCAGCGTCAAAATCAACATAGATTCATGATAGTTGCATACCATAAGGGCCCTTTTACATTTTCTGAGTTGGGTGAGCGATCAATTAGATGGGTAAAACTAAATATTGTATAGAATTCAGCATTTAAAATCTAATAAATCGAATTTTCTTATCAGTGCCCGCAGCATTATATAACATGATTGATTGTAAACCGAGACGGTGCCCGGGTGGTTCTAATGACCAATTTTAATCTTAACAAATATATAGTAAACATATTAATAATCCCTTACAAGGGCACTGCACACTTAATAGGAAAATGCCACACTGTGTAGATCGGCAACTTTACGATGGAATTAAAACTTATCGGACAAATATCGCGAAAACTTAAAGTTTTGTATGCTCCAACGGCCAGAATGAATGACTCAACAAACAATTTTTTTATTTTTCTTGCTGATTTGAAGGCCATTAAGGCAATTGACCCAGTCAAAAAGTTAAGGTTAAAGTTGATGCCGTGGTGTCAGTAAAATGGTACGGATGTATATTATACCCATATATATATGATGATTTGGCCTTAATTTCAGACACCATAGAGCAAGTCCAACTTCTGCTGACAGACCTTGCAAATGCAGCCGCACAAGTTGGTCTTGCTATGAATGCTTCTAAGACCGAGTTCATGACCATCAACATCCCTGACACTGTCGACTTACATTCTATCTCAGGCCTCCAGATTAAACAGGTTGATGACTTTAAATACCTCGGCTCTTTCATTGCGGACAGTAGAAAGGATTTCAACACAAGGAAAGGAATGGCCTGGTCAGCCTGTATTAAACTGCAAAAAGTCTGGTCCTCTGGCATTTCCGAACAACTGAAAGTCAAGTTCTTTAGAGCCTGTGTCGAACCAGTATTGCTCTATGGATCAGAGACATGGACCATAAACAAACAGCTTGAGAAACGCCTCAACGGATGCTACACCCGTCTTTTAATGAAGGCCAAGAACATTTCGTGGAAGAAGCATCCAACCCTCAAGCAGATCTATGGCAACCTTCCATCTATTGCCTCAGTGGTTGCGTCGAGGCGTTCCAGATTTGCTGGGCATTGCATGAGAGCTTCTGGCCAAGTTATCTCCACTATCCTCCCCTGGCGACTTGCCCAATCGGGCCGTGGAAGGAGACCACTCACCTTCCTGGACGTAGTAGCTCGTGACACTGGGCTCCAGTTAGACGACCTTCGAACTGTTATGTGCGATCGAGACGTGTGGAGGCAGACAGTGAATGGGATTTCGATTGAGGATCGCCCAAAGTAAAAAGTAAGTATATATATAGGTACAATATATATCCGTACCATATATGGTATATATATATATATTATACAGGGTGGGCCAAAAGTCATAGACACTACAAATTTAACTAGAAAAATGATCTGATCAAGTCCCAGATTCCACAATGCTGATAGAAGAAGGTATAGAGTCTTTAAAATCTTTGGTCGTTATCACGAGATCAAGAGTTCCTACTTGATTGTGAGTTCTTTCTAGTGGTACACATTGAATGAAACCAAGCTGACCAAGAAGGGCAAGAAACTTTGCGGAATAAAGATCTTTAGGTCTTTCAACATGTAAATTAAAATCCCCTGTAATCAGGGTTCTTGGCTTACCGGACAAATCACACAGGTCTTCACTGAATTTTTCTAAGAAGTGGCACTCAGTGTACCTGGCCATGATATAACTCTGTTATCTCACAAATGAAGGCCATAGTCTGTCCTGCATTTTTCTACAAACAAAACGATAAAAACAAAATCCTAACTTCATCGTTTTGCCAATAAAGTTTCAGAAAAGTATTTTTCATCTTATGCCATGGGGTGATTCAGAATTAGCATCCAAAAATATATAGATCTATTAAAGCTGTATAACTTTAGGACCCATTCAAAAAAATTTTTTATCATCTCGAGCGATTTACTGCACATGTGCACAATGTACTGCACATGGCGACCAAATTATGTGGATATTACTTTCAAGATAAAATAAGGAAAAAATTCAGTTCTTGTTAAATTGTTCGTCCAAATTTCTCACGTGACTTATTTTTATGTCATTCAGCGATAAAAACAAAACCCTAACTTAATCGTTTTTCCATTGAAGTTTTGCGTTTTGCGTTTTCATCTTATGCCATAAGGGTGATTCAGAATTAGCAGCCGAAAATATATCGATCTATTTAAGTTGTAGAAACTTTATGACCAATTCAAAAAATTGTTTTATCTTGAACGAGTGATTTAGTAGTAGCGCAAATATAGCATAAAATTTAGCGTTTACGTTGTTCAGACTCAGCGATAAATCGAATTTTCTTATCAGTAAATTCAGCATTATATAGCACCTGAGCGCAAGCAAAAGTTTACTAAATTTCATTTTGACGTTCATCATGTTACATTTCTTCATTCTGCTGTTCGTTGGACTGTACTCTGAGGCAGCCACCAAAGCGGACCCAGAATGCTACATGAACCCGAGTCAACTAGGGGAGAAATATGGCTACACCATGGAGGAACATTGGCCCGTCACTGATGACGGATACATCCTTCTCATCAATCATATTGTACCTAAATCTAAGAGTGCACCGGCTGTTTTCTTAATGCATGGTTTATTAGACAGTAGTGCAACCTGGCTACTCAATGGCAAGGAAGGTTCGTGTGATTTGTTATCTAGATAAGCAATCGATCTTTTACAGAATTTGCACATTCACATTTTTCTTGGGTAACTAACAGATTATGGGTTAGATAAAAATTCTCAAATTACAGGTACATGAACCTCGACATGTCAAGAATCGCGATCTATGAGAGTCATAGCCCAGCAGGTTAGATTATTACCATATTTTATTACTTAAAAATTGAATAGCTTAATTCAAGGTTACCTAGTCAAAATACTTATTGAATCATGATACCTGAAAAATGTCCGGGTAGATCGAACATCAGACTTTTTCCTAGGAACGAGCACGAGGAATATAGTTCACTGGTCTCAGATGGTAAATGCTCAGAAACTCCAGAAGTATGATTACGAGAGTGTTACCAAAAACATGCTTCATTACGGCTCACCCGAACCACCACTTTATGATATTTCAGGTTGGAATCTCTATGAACTAGATATCATTATTCTGATTAATTTTCAATTACTACAAATCCCTATTATGTTATCCCGTTTACAAACTAAAGCCCGTATCCTTTAATAAGATTCTCAAACGATTCCAAATATTTCAGGACTTTCAGTACCAACAGTTCTCGTGATGGGAGGAAATGATTGGCTGGGTGACCCACGTGACCAACTTTGGTTAATCGAACAGATCGGACACAAGGTGGTAGAGTTCTTAGCCATCGACCACTACAACCACCTCGACTTTCTCTGGGGAATAGATGCACCGAAAATGGTTTACCATCCCATGATTGAGATCATGAAGAAGATGTTGTAGGCTGGGCTGAACTCTATTATGTACTCCGATGATGACCATTATTTCTTATGTATTGTAACATTGATGTGTTAATAACCTCTTTGTAAAAGTTTGGTTTTTTTCTTTCCAATATAATCTGAGGTCCATTAGCCTGGGGCTGTATCATAGAAAGAGTTATTTTAATAGTACGTGATTCTTTATACGGTGCACAATGTACTGCACATGACGACCAAATTATGAAGATATTACTTTCAAGATAAAATAAGGAAAAAATTCAGTTCTTGTTAAATTGTTCGTCCAAATTTCTCACGTGACTTATTTTTATGTCATTCAGCGATAAAAACAAAACCCTAACTTAATCGTTTTGCCATTGAAGTTTTGTGTTTTGCGTTTTCATCTTATGCCATGAGGGTGATTCAGAATTAGCAGCCGAAAATATATCGATCTATTTAAGTTGTAGAAACTTTATGACCAATTCAAAAAATTGTTTTATCTTGAACGAGTGATTTAGTAGTAGCGAAAATATAGCATAAAATTTAGCGTTTACGTTGTTCAGACTCAGCGATAAATCGAATTTTCTTATCAGTAAATTCAGCATTATATAGCACCTGAGCGCAAGCAAAAGTTTACTAAATTTCATTTTGACGTTCATCATGTTACAATTCTTCATTCTGCTGTTTGTTGGACTGTACTCTGAGGCAGCCACCAAAGCGGACCCAGAATGCTACATGAACCCGAGTCAACTAGGGGAGAAATATGGCTACACCATGGAGGAACATTGGCCCGTCACTGATGACGGATACATCCTTCTCATCAATCACATTGTACCTAAATCTAAGACTGCTCCTGCTGTTTTCTTACAGCATGGTTTATTAGACAGTAGTGCAACCTGGTTACTCAATGGCAAGGAAGGTTCGTTTGATTTGTTATCTAGATAAGCAATCGATCTTAATTAAAGAATTTGCACATTCAAGTTTCGGTAACTGACAAATTATGGATTAGATAAGAATTCTCAAATTGCAGGTTATATGCCAGCAAATTAAAGCAATAAGACCGACACATAAAAGAATCTTTCAAACTCTACGATTTCAGGTAGTTTTGCGTTCATTCTGGCTGATGCTGGGTTTGACGTCTGGATGGGTAACATCCGTGGAAATACTTACACCATGAACCATACCACTATACCTGTCGACTCTGATGCTTTCTGGGCATTTACATTCGATGAGATGATCGCAATAGATCTACCTAACATGATAGATTATGTGCTCAAAAAAACTGGACAAGACAGTTTGTTCTACTTTGGTCATTCTCAGGGATCCCTTATAGGATTCACTGGATTCAGCAGGTTAGTTCAAAATGCAAATAAACTTATTTCCACACGCGGTATACAAATCAGCTAATTACTTGCTATATTTTAAAGATTTTTAACCATAATAACTGCTATAAACATATTTATTTTTCAGCATTCCAGACCTAGCAAAAAAGATCCGACTTTTCACGGCTCTGGCACCTGTGGCTAGGGTTGATCACGTAAAAGGACTTTTTGATTATCTGTCACGATACCAAAGCTCTCTTGAGTGGATTTTTAAGGAATTCGGATTACGTCAATTCCTTCCAAGGTTGAAAATACTTCACATAATTTTTATTACTCCCAAAGTCTTATAACATAAACTAAAACACGTTATCAAATGTTAGAAATCCGTAGAGCAATTATAGATTGGTTAGAAAGACATTACTCTCACTATTTTCAGTAATTGGGTTATCCGGACATTCGCAACGTTGATTTGTCCCAACGTAGAACTAAAGGCAGTCTGCTCAAACCTTATCTTTCTGATGGCTGGATACGATACCTCAAACTTCAACAGCTCTAGAGTAGCGATCTATGAGAGTCATGTCCCAGCAGGTTAGATTAACATGATAGGTTTCTCCTCTATAACTAAACTTAAGATTAAATGGCTTATTCAAGGTTATCTCGTCAGAATACTAACTGAATCAAAATGTCTGAAAAATGTCCGGGTAGATCTGAATTGTTACAGCAGAATTTTTCCAAGGAACGAGCACGAGGAATGCTATTCACTGGTCTCAGATGATAAATGCTCAGAAAGTCCAGAAGTATGATTTCGAGAGTGTTACCAAAAACATGCTTCACTACGGCTCACCCGAACCACCACTTTATGATATTTCAGGTTGGAATCTCTATGAACTAGATATTATTATTCTGATTCATTTTCAATTACTATAAATGTCATGTCGGCCGGGTGGGTGGTGGTAACACGGTCGCCTCCCAAGCAGAAGGCCCGGGTTCAAATCCGGTCGGATGCAAGTCGGTCAGTTACCAAGCTGTGATTTGGTACAGCTTCGGCTGGTGATACACACCCTCTGGCTCGTGGGACTAACCCCCCTACCGCTTGTATAGTGCCTCGGCACAGAGTGGCTTAGGGTTACTGAAAAGCTGAAAAGGAGATAAGCACCTCAGGCCATCCCAACGTTCGGGAGAGACCTGCCCTTGTATCTTGTATCTTGTTGTATAAATCCCATATATAAATTATCATGTTACTCCGTATTATATAATATATCTTTTAATGAGTTTCATAAACGATTCCAAATATTTCAGGACTTTCAGTACCAACAGTTCTGGTGATGGGAGGAAATGATTGGCTGGGTGACCCACGTGATGAGCTTTGGTTAATCGAACAGATCGGACATACGGTGCTAGAGTACTTTACCATCGACTACTACAACCATCTGGACTTTCTCTGGGGAGAAGACGCGCCCAAGATGGTTTACTACCCCATGATTGAAATCATGAAGAAGATGCTGTAGATTCCAACTGTTGACCAATATCTTTTATGTACGTTGTAATACTGATTTGTTTAAACTAAAATTACCTGTTTTTTCTTGCCCATGTAGTCCTGGGGTCCATTAGCCTGGGGCGGTATCTTGGACAGAGCTTTTGAGAAGAAAATTATCGAGTTTAACACAACACTGAAAAATAAATTTAGTAATACTATAAATAATAAAATTTCCCAAAATAACTTAAAAAGATTACAATATGTTATCTGCCATTAAGGCAAACAAAGTAAACAAAAACATATTGTGACTTACTAAGATTGAAGCATGCTCATAACGATCCAGCGTGGTGGGTAGACGTTGCTTTTAACAAGATCCTTGAATACCAAAAACACTTCGTTCAGGAAATCCTGAGTGGAATCAGGTGAAAGGAACAGATCAGATAAATTTGATTCGTTGAATACTGAGTGCAATATAGAGTCGAGTCAATAACTGTAAAACGACCGAATAGAAGTTAAAATCGTAAAAAAAAGTCTTTGATAGTTTTTAAGATTTGCTCACAATAAGATCCTTCTCATTCATAGGCTCCATGTAAGAAGTGTAATGTTCATCGTTCATCAGATGTAGCAGAGCTATGAGACAAGACACGTAATCACGTGACAGATCAATATCTTTTACTTTGTCTACTTGGCAGACTAGTCTGAAGAGGAGCTCTAGGAGAGGGTCAACTATTCCTCGTACTATCCCTGTATTCGACTGAAACAATGGTAAATGATAAAATCTTATCGTATTTAGCGATAAAATAGAAGTGAACCTTGATAAATTAAATACAAAATAAATGTATCCACTATCCAGTAAAACTACCATGATACCAAGTGATTCTGTAGGGGGTGAGAAACACATTTCAAACATCGTCGCACCAAGTAGTTGTGGGCTAATCATTAAATCCACAAGGTCACAAATTGTTTTTAAATAACCAAGTTCACTCACGTGTTTGTTTGACACGGTGATCAGGATGTGGGTGAGTATCTCCACCGCCTGTGTTTTCTCCTTTCTGACCTCCTCCTTATCTCGGATAGTCTCCTCGTCTTTAAGGTGGAACTTCAGATGTCTCATTAGCAGTGGGATCAGAAGCTCACAACCAACTGGAGCAATATACGAATTAGCTCAGGTAATTCTATAGTTTATATCATAGCAGGAGAGATATGACAAAAATTACTAATTTTTTAAAGATAGCGCATACAGTGACTTTGGATGAAGCAAATTATGCGCAAGAACTATGTATTATTTCAAGATCTTATGTTATCGTTGCAATCTTGTGAGGGATCAGTCCCTGACAATAAACTTATAAACTGGCAAATCAGGGAGGATCCGTTGCAGTGGCAAGATGTTTCTCAAACTATCACCAGATAACAGGTGCTGGTAAAGGGGGGGGGGGGGGGGGTATTTTACTGACCAGGATCTTCGAGGATTTGTCCTTTGACAATATCATACACACAGGATAGCTTGTATCGGATTATTTCTTTTTCGTCAGTCGAAGGAACTGCGTCTATAAAGTTGCTGATAATCTGAAGAAGTGTGATATTTTAGATAGAATTTAATATGAAATTATGCAGGGAACAAATTATATAGTTGACTGACGCACGTATATTATAAATCTTTAACATTAAACATTAAGACGTTAAACTTTACCTGGCAAGTTGTTTGAAGGGGTAGAATCTTATTTAGTTCAGGTATTGTATGAGGGAAATATTTCAACGTCTTTGCCTGAAATAAAGAAAGTAGTCGGTAATATACTATTGTGATTACATCTTCCTGAGGATTTGGGGTGATTAACATGCATTTCTAATTCAAATCTTCTCTTTCAATCTTCTCTTAATCTTCCAAACGCAAGACAACGCTTTAGTGTATCAGCAAGCAAAATCTGGAATTTCCATTTACACCATAAATCAAAATTAAAATTTTCAGCGTACAACCCTTGACCAAAACTGACATAAATGAAATGTGAAAAACGGGCAATCGGACAAAAGAGGACGTTAATGGTTTTATCAACGTAAAGTTTACATTTCAGCGATGATTGTTTGAAGAAATAAGAAAACCCCTAAGGTCGAATAACAAAATATAATGTTATCTAGATGATAAGGGAGACAAGATTAGCGGCACAAAAAGGAAGATATGACACAGAATAATAATGATGTTGGAACAAGTTATTGCGTTACGTGTGAGAAACCCTACCAGAATGTCCCGCTGTCTCGCTTTATTCTGGGATATTGTCATAGCTTAAATCATCCAGGAGATAATTCAAAGAAAAAGAGAGCGCAAGGTTTTGGTTATTTTGTTTTGATTCGAGAAGTTACAGATGAGATTTGGTGAGAGGGTTGGTACTTACGGTTGTCAGGCGGTTGGGGTGTACTTTAATCATGTTGTTGAGCTTGTCGAAGAATTCAAGAAGGGATCGAGTAAACTTGCTAAAACTCCGGTCTATTGTGGAAGCTTGGGAGTGGAGGTGACTTGATTGTACAATAAACTTGAACAAATACTCCAGCGCCTGAAAGTGGTTTTTTGGTTTTTAAGTTTATAGGTAAAATTCTCTTAATAAAGTTGAAGTACAAATCATTAAATACTTATGGTCAGCTGAAATCCAACGATGAATGATCATAGGGCCATCCTAAAATGAAATTGTTGACCATAGTAATCGCTGATAAAGTCGAGGGTTTTTTAAAGGCTTTTTAAAGCTCTGATATTCTAAAACAAATAAATTATGAAATTAATTTGAATTTGTAGAATCTTCCACCTTCATGATATCGCCAATGTTCTTGGTTTGAAATTGCTCCACTTTTATCTTCAATCTATCGAGCAGCTTGATGTAAACTTGCGTGTGGAAGAAATACGCTGAAACGAAATAAGTTTAACCTCGATTCACTCTAAAAGAACCAATAAAAAGATCGATTAAATCCCAAATTTTAACGGTTGGACGACTATCTTGTAGGGCTATATAGTATTGCATGTTTAAACTTACTTGTGATATAGTTGTCGAGGACTGGCCGGAAATGTTCGAACTTGTGGTCCGCCAGCGTACAGATGATGAAGACGATACAATCGAACACAACCTCTCCAAAGTCCTGGTCCTTTTTGTCGAGAATCATGAATAGAGCTTCAAATATCATGTGTAGGAACTTCACGAGCTCTTCTCCCTGCAAAAATGAGCGGCTTAATAGTTTATATGAGCAAAAGAATGTCAAGATATTAATATTTTCTGTGATTAAGTTACTTAACAGGTTATTTAACTATTTAAGAGGTTGTATTCTGCATTAAGATTTTTTCTAACTTGATATTTGACGGTTACAGAGAAATATTCGCCCAGTATAAACCGGATAAATGTGACGCTATCAGTACCTGGATCACCTGGACCCTTTGAAGAATCTCCCCAAGTCTTGCCTCGTGTTGTTCCCATTGTAACAAAGACTTAAGATCGCTGTTCTGGGTGAACTTACTCGAGCAGAACACCGAGCTGATTTCAAGGAACTCGTTGTATTTTTGCTCTATGTCACTTGATATTCTTGTGTCCTGAGATCAATGCTGTCAGAAGAGTGGAGTTTCCAAAATGCAGTATAACAGATAATCTTTGACGTATTTGAAATTTTTGCGCTGCTAAATTTCCCCAAAATTTGTCCGAGATACTGCAAATTTAGTGGAAATATGCCACGTAAGTATGACAGCACAAATATGCAGCACAATGTCTCAAAATTTGGAGTAATTTCTTTTAGTGGACAGAAATAGACTGATGATATTTGGATATTTGAAATAATTTTGATGCATTACAAAATAATGGGTGCGCGAGTTGTATTTTTGACTGCATGGCGTGAACAATAATGGGGAGAGGGGCGAGGGCCAGGGGGGAATCCAATCGATGCCATTTATAAATTAACATACCCGCTCTCACGACTTACCTTGGTAATCTGAGACATACTAAAGTAAGAATGAAGATGGAGGTAGTCAGAAACTTGGTGCCTGAACTCGGCTGCTCTGGCGGTATCTTTGTAAACTATTAGTTTGTGATTGCCGTTAGATATCAGAGTGCCGTCTTTGTTCGCCAGTCGGAGGAATGCGAAACCCGGTTTGTCCTTATTCTTGTTTTTGTCATTAGCATGCCTGAAAAAAATTCTTGTTAAACTGCAATATGTTCCCAATCTATTAGCTCACATGGCAGGACTCAGGAAGTTTCTAAATGTATTCTAACCATTTTGTTCCACATTGGAAGGGGCTCCGATATATCTTTAAAGCCTTACAGCGCTGAGTGAAACAAAACAAAATGTATCCAGATTCCTAGTTACCTAAACGTGAAGAGGAGGTGGCAGTTAGCAAAACTGTAAGATCCGTGATCAGGCAGGTTTATCCGCAAAGTCTCGTCCCAGAGTGGGCTGTTACAGTGGTAGATAACTGAACTGCGGTATGTGTCCACAGTGGGTTCTCCTGAGACAATTATCAGTTACAGGTGGAACTGATATTACTATGAGTTACAAGTAGAACTGATATCACAATCGAGATAATCACCACAAATATTGCAAGTGGAATTTCTTTTTTTTGCAGTTTCTAGTCCCAGGTTTTGCAAACAACAATAGTGTTTTCTTTGCAATATGAAGGTTGTGCTTCCTGTCACTCCGTCGCCACCTTAACAGTTAAATTCTAAGTTAAAACAATACCTGTGCCCCGAGAGATAGCCCCCTTGACTTCATTCCCTTTAGCATCTCTCACTGATACTTGAACCAGAAGATTTCGCTCGGCTTTCTTGGATCCCTTGCTGAACTTTGCTTCTCTCAATGTTATGTACAAATCATTTCTTTGATCAGCTGAAATTTTGAGTATCATAAAAGAGAAGTTACATAGTCTTGTTGTAGATGAGTCATTGTAACTGAGCGGGGAACTTGGTAGGTTTCTTGGAGTATAAGTGTTATGTATTCTATAATTCAGATGCATTTGTGACAGGTGTGGCCCATTTTAGTTCTGCAAGATCTAGCAAGCTTACTATATAACGGGTACAAATACGCGCGTGCGCGCAATGGTGTTTTAGTAAGTGCTGAAGGCAGCACTTTTACTTGGGATGGAACCTCACAAAACTAGCAATTATTGTGCGATGTAAGTTGGTGGAGTCACAAGTTTGGTGTTACGAGTGACGAAATTAGGGAAAGCCGGATGTTTTGTAGTGCAACAAAACATTCCTTTAGTTTCATAAAGTGTTCAATCGTGATAACTTACATGCATCGCCATCATTAACGATAATTAATCAAACAAAGAACTAATGAGTAAAATTAAGAAAAGAATCACAAAAGCAGGTGGAGGCGGGATTCGAACCCGCGCCTACATTGTAGACTACGACCTGAACGTAGCGCCTTAGACCACTCGGCCACCCCACCTCTGGAACCAACGAGTTTCCGCAATATCAATACACCAGATGCACTTACTTGGGTTAATAACCGCAGGGAAGCCCAATTTTCGGGTAATCATATTTCCGGGAGCGACAGAAGGCTTCTTGAAAATGTGGGGGTTTTGTTGCTTGACTAACTCTAGCGGTCCAGGAAACACTTTAATGTTGGAAATGTACAGTCCTGCAATAGTTCATCATAAGTGATGAAGAAATATGAAAACTGTAATATTTGAGTTCAGTGCTAGCTAACTACAACTGTAAAGCCTTTAATATATATAGGGTGGTTTAAATGATTTGCATACCTTGTGTTCGATCTAGCTGTTGGAATTGTGCCTTTTCGCCCATGATAACCTTTCTGTGTAACTCACTAAAATTGTTTTCACTTTTGTCTTTACTCAACCTGAACGTATGTTCTTAAAGTTTGATATTATTATACACAACTCACAAGATAACTTTGTAGCAGAACCAGCAGCTAACGGCAGCGACGCTAGGTTATCACATAAGTACAAAGATTACAAGCAGTAATTATAGTTACACTGGTAATTATTCCACAATCACATAACATCGTGTACAAGTTAAATGTCTTAACCGGACCGGAGCTCATTTTGTTAATGTGCGTGTTGAAAGACCAGGTATTTGAGTAAAACCGTATCTCACATTTTTGGAATATATTTTATCAGAAGTATAAGTGTTTTACGTGTAAATGTCGAGCCGGTTGATGTTGTTATCGGATCTCACTCCGAGATTAGCTTCCACTGTATCGATATGCGTCTTAATTGAAATGTCTGAAACATAACAGTCAACAGTCAGTTTTGACTGTATTATGTACTATTTCGCACGTCTGCAAATAAATACTTAACAAGTTAAAAACTGTCTGTCACTTCAGCCAAATCGTGTGATCACAAGTAACCGTAAATAGAATAATATCATAAATTTAGTAAACTCACAAGAAAGCCCCAAAGGTCTGAGATATTCCACCGTGTTTCCACCAGCCTTGTTATTATTACCAGATGACTCCAGTTTAACCGGACCTGAGAGGAGTAATTAGTTGTACACCACATACCAGGTAATTAGCAAATACCTCTAAGTATGACAAGTTGTTTAGCAAGTATACTCAACAACGCTGACAACTTCAATGAGGTCAGGTCTATATTTGTTCCTCGCTGCTGACTTTCAGCCACTGACACTTTGACTGATGGAGGTATTTTTTAAATTAAGGGTTAAGATTACCAGGTATCATCGCCCATTAATTTGACAGATTTTGGTTCATTTGCTACACTTGGAGGGCCTTTACAACCGTTCCCACCGTGCGTTTTAAATTTCTGCAGACTAAATAGTGGAGTATATTCTGTGTTACTAGCGATAACGCCCCGGAGCGGCGTGATCCAAAAATTATATCAAAATAAGTACCAGGCCGTTCTGACCACGTGAAATGAAAAAACTATCTGAGTACTTTGGTACTAGACCATAGGTGCAGATTTCGTTTTGAGGTGAACTTTTAAGTTCCCGAGAAATTTTCTTAAGTTTGCTTTTTTTTCCTCCTCGGGCACATTCGTAACCTACGGGCCAGGTAAACCTAAACTACATATTGACCGTTATGTACGTCGGTATCTGTTGAGGAGCCAAATCATCTGAAAAGCCCTAAACCTATATTTTGCTCAGGCACGTAGCCAGGATTTTTCTTTGGGGGGGGGGGCTGTCGGTGAGCGAAGCTCACCGACAGTCCTGGTAAGGGGTGGACCCCATTGGCGGGGGCTAGGGGGGTGCAGCCCCCCGGAAAAATTTTGCGAAATATGGTGTTTAAGGCTAAATTGAAAGTTTAATGAATTTACAAAAATGTATGGTTTGGCATAATCATTGCCTACAATCCTGACCTGAGTAATTTACCCCTTTGAGACTTTATTTTGGGTTGAAAATTGAGTTTATCGAGAGGAAGTGAAAAATCTCTGGTTCAAATTTGGATTTTAATTTTTTCTGTTGAGGTCAATTTTTGGCGCAGAAAGCGTTCGATTTTAGGGGGAAAATGTATGTTTGCTTTTAATTTTTATGGTGCCGACGGCACCTGAAATCGACGAAATCTGCAGGGGTGTACTAGACAATAGCAGCTATAACTATACATTCATTATATTGTGTTAACTGTACTTCAGAATTTACAACTTTACAAGTGAGAAATGAGAATACAGATACCAGAAATACTTGAGAAAATTATTCATAAACCATGACTATTATTATTCAGAATGATAAAAGAAATGCCGATACAGTAATAGCATTGATCACCAGGCCAATTACGCAAACTGGTATATTCTAAAGATATGGTGCGTGAACCGTGGTATTGGCAGCAGGAAACTAATTACTACTTGACTAATTCTAATTATTATTTGTTCCATAGTGCCACGTTTGGGAACATTATTGCGAGCGATATAAATAAGTAAATATGAATAATAATCTAGTTAAAATAGGCTATGTTTTCACTCGCAAACTACTGTGGAGTTCTACTCGTTCGTTATACTTGTTCGTTCATTTGAACCCTTTGAAGCATGTTCTTGAAACTAAGAACTTTAAATCTTTGCTTTAAACTATCCGAACACAGATCCCGCTCTTAACAAGATTTGACCTTTTAGTGGTGCACCTTTTTTTTGTTTATTAAAATGATAACTTTTCGGATCTTATGTTTACATTTGGAGACAATATACAGCATGGTAGAAATAATCGTGACACACAACGTTAATTCCCACAAACATTATTTAGATTCATTGTTCACATTTCACAAATTTCACCTAACTAATTCCTCCATATACACTATTAACTATAATGCCACCATGATAACAGTAATACATATTAAAAGTACTGATAACTCATAACACGACAATCAGATAAGTCTAGAAGATGGGTATTAAAGTCACTGGCTGGTAACAATATGTTAGTCTTTATCAGACCTGTTATCTAATTATACTAATAACTAATATCAGAAATTATATTATAACATAAAAAATGAGAACAACCAGAAAATGCAACCAAAAAATAATAACATAAATACATAGAAATATAACATCAGATCATAAATAAAAGGAGAAAGTAAAAACTTAAAACAGTTGATAGAGTTGAACGCTTGAACTGAGTTAAAACTCACGACGAAGATCATTTTAGATGCAACCTGAAGCAACCTTTCAGCGGAATACTGCAAAGAGTTGAAGGAACTAAGATCTTTCCTAGAATCTAAGAAACAGACAATAGAGCACATCATTGGAAAAGAAATTAAACTGATTATCGCTAACAGAATAGGCAGCAACCTTAGCGATCAGTTTTGAATAAAGGAATTTATAGGTCTTTATAGAAGTATAATGGTGAGTGATAATTAATTGATTTTGATTTATTTGAACTTTTGTCTTTTACCGTTACGGTAATTTTGTCAATTATTGCCATTTTTAAAAAATCAATATATTGTTTTTTTTTGTTTAAATATTTTGAAGAAGGAGTATTTTGGTTATAGTTGTTGTAGTTACGATTAAGAGTTTGTTTCGTTATGTTCATATCATCAGCTCCAAGTACCCGTTTCTTGGCCGTTCCAATTATTTTATTCAGTCATCGCTCATCATCTCAACTTAACTTGAAAGTTCATTCTATCGGGATTCCGCTTAACTTTAATGCTTACTGCGTAGTCTCACACAATAACTCACACATCAGCTCGCCGTTTTAGAAGACTCATTTCTTTTAAAAGTTCTCATCCTCTAAAAAAGCATCAATAAACGAATGGGAAGTGGACGGAAATGATACCTGAATAGAAAAATACATACTAAGGTTTGAAAATCAGGAGGACGCTGCAACCCAGGAATCAACTACAAGTACAATGCTATCGACGCTCAATAATTGGTTTGGTATCGACATTACATATTTTTCTTTTCCGACTCCAAAGCTGACTAAAGCAACCAGGGAATAAATTTACATTCTGCAAAATTACATCGTTGATTTTATATTTTATTTTATTCACTAAAATAAAATATTTGACTTTATACGTAGCTGTTTCAGATAGAGGGGTAATCTGAGTGATATCTATCAGCTGCTTTTGGTCCTATGGAAAAATATTGTTGAATTTTGACAGAATTTTTGAATAGGCCTTTAAAATGTTGTATTCGGCTTTGAAAATCTTGGACCTCATTTTTTGACGATTTTTCCTAGAACATAGTGAACATAATATTACTCTCTTTGTAACATCCAAGTACATTTTGCACACATTTTGCAAATTCAAATTTTGAATGTATGTAGAGCCTAGAGGTATGATGTATGTAGATGTATATGTATGATATCGATCAAAACAACATGAACTATTCCAGCACAATTGGAAGTACAGTTTTACCGAACTCTAAATCCTTACGGTAATGAATACCCTTGCAATTTGCATGTACCACCCGTATTCACATTCAGTATTGAGTCGGGTCATTTTCGAATGCGAGATTGGGGACGGGTTCTATACAATAATATTAATAAATTGAATTTTAATAACACCCCTATTAAGATTAGGCTATCCACTCCGATAATCGTAACCGATAATTATCTCCGATAATTCGTTAAAAAAGGTTATCTGTTTATCTAGATAAAACATATTTTTATCGGTATAAAAATTCACTAGATATTACCGAAAATACTTCCACAATACCGTAAAATTGTAAAGAAATATTAGTGTTTTTGCCTTCCTAAGTAATCCAAGAAACAGTCCCAAACGTCTTCTAGTATGATAGAAGAGGTAGTTTACTTAGATGTGAGCTTAAGGCCAGAGGGGGGGGGGGGTAAATTGGTTTTTCCAGTTTTCACATATTTGATCAGAGCTGCTGGAGACAAACAAGAAGAAAAAACCTGGACCGAAATCTGACCTTGCGTTTTTAAGATATCGCGCGCCAAATATTGAGGTTTACATGTAATTACATGTAAAACTTTAACTTAAACTGTAAAAAGTTAAAAGTCCCTTAGTTGAGAATACTGGCCACACCCAGAAGCTGAAACTTGGCACAGTTGTTCCTTGGGCTGTCACCCACAATGAGGTTAACTTTACCCCAAATTCGACAATTTTTCGAAAAGTGTCGAATTTGGGGTAAAGTTAACCTCATATTTCGAGAACAGAGGCAAATATCAAAATTTTGTACAATAGAATTGTGGGTGTTTGTCTCCAGCAGCTCTGATCAAATATGTGAAAACTGGAAAAACCAATTTTACCCCCCCCCCCCCCCCCCCCTCTGGCCTTAAGAGGTTTATTTACATTTGTATACCTTTGGAACTGTAGAACTGTATGAACTGTAGAAATCCAGAGAAGGTTATTGACATTGTTCTCTTGATGGTGCTGGCGTTTTACCTTATAATCATTCTGGAGACGGGAACGAGCATGTTACTGTTAACAAGAGTCAAAAATACCGGCAGGGCACTCGATTGAATTCCGTAAGTGTTCTGGGCGTGAAACATTGTCCTCAGGAGTAGGAATCTGTTGCTCCAAGTTATCAACAGGATAAGAAAACGGTTCACTGAATCACTTTAAATGCTTTACTGTTTCGAGGAGAATTGGTATTTGGTGCACTACTGTTCTCAGGAGAAGGAAACCGTTGGTCTAGTACTGCTTTGAAGAGAACTGGTAGTATACTACTGTTCTCAGGAGAAGGAAACCGTTCATGGTCTACTGTTTTGAAGAGAACTGGTGCATTACTGTTCTTAGGAGAAGAAAACCGTTGGTCTACTGTTTTGAAGAGAACTGGTAGTACACTACTGTTCTCAGGAGAAGGAAACCCTTGCTCAGATACTGTTTTGAAGAGAACAGGTGCACTACTGTTCTCAGGAGAAGGAAACCGTTGGTCAACTGTTTTGAAGAGAACTGGTGCACTACTGTTCTCAGGAGAAGAAACCGTTGGTCTACTGTTTTGAAGAGAACTGGTAGTACACTACTTTTCTCAGGAGAAGGAAACCCTTGGTCTATTGTTTTGAAGAGAACTGGTACACTACTGTTCTTAGGAGAAGAAAACCGGTGGTCTACTGTTTTGAAGAAAACTGGTGCACTTCTGCTCCCCGGAGAAGAAAACTGATGCTCTAATATTTTCAAAAGAAAGGAAGTGGTACTTTAGCAAGATAACTGGTAAACAGTAATAAAAGTCGACAATTAGTTTTTGCGAAATTTGGAAAACATTTAGGCTTTGGCCTTCAGCAGAAAAATTATCGGTTTTATCGGTTTTATCTAGATAAAACCTAAATCTTTATCTGTTTATCTAGATAAAAGATTTCATACCGATAATGGATAGCCTAATTAAGATACAACCTATACAAAAAAAAGGAAACAAAATTAGGATTAAGATGGCATCGATGTCCCTGACGAATGATCATACTTTGCCTTGTGTATCTCACACTGCATTAAATAGCATTACCATTACTTGACAAAGTGTTGTACTGTAACACTGTTCAATAATTAATGAAACAATAACTTAATTACAACTTTATTTTTAGGTAATATGGGGATCGGAATTTCAAGTCCAGAGCCCGAAGCATCAGAGGCATATGTAATGTTGTTAGCACATTTAAAAAAACCCCTCCAGATGTGGCCACAATTCCTGATTCCTATATTGCAATCTCAATATGTTTGCAATCCAAGATAAGGGTCATGAATGTGACACCAGACGTGAAAGAAATGCTTACAAGACTTGACCAAGAAATAACTGCCAAATGTGGATCCACTCGAGGTCCTCTTATTGAATACTACGGTACTTTAAAGATGTATGTTGGAGATCGTCGCACTTTTACAGCTGGGGCAGGAAAAGATAGAGCTACTCTTGGAAAGTTCTTTGCTCTACGTCTGTTAGAAGAAATGTATAATTTAGGCTACAACATGCACATAAGTAGTGATTTAGCAAGAGAACATGACCAGGCTACTTGGTTCTTTTCAAAGAGTGCGATACCGAACGAAAATAGAGGTCGATATAGAGTTTGCTGTATTGCTCCTGGGGGATTAAGAAGCAACAAACTTGTCCTTCTACATCATGATGAGTATATAAAACAAGCAGTTATGCTAGCTCTTGGAGATGCTTGGCCCAAGGGTGTATCTAAAACTGAGGACATTATGTCCTACGGTGAGTTGCTGCATGAGATTTCTTTAAATGGATACTGGGGTCAGACTAAAGAAGATGGAATCAACACTCGAAAAGCAATATGCAATTTGGTTGGAAGGATGGGTGGGCTGAACTGGAAGCTTCTTGCTTCAAGTAATTTAAAAGGAACTGCTGACTCCTTCTTTTTTGTATACGATCCAACTTTTTCTGCTCAACCGAATGATTTCTGTATGCTGTCCCTGTCTAAAAATGACAGGTTTAGGTTGATTAACTGCAACCACCTCATTGAACCCTTGAAGACGGCTATTACTGCTGCTGGTCTTTCTATTCAAGAACAGCTGATTTATTACGGTAGCCAAGAGATCAAGGTACGTGGCAATCCTTGGCGTTCGGGCTCGAATCGTGAAGCCATTGCTGCACGAAGAAGTATTTCACGAATTATGGAAGTTTTTGGTAAACATGGATACACTCCACTCTACGCGATCGACGTAAGCCGTAGTTTGACTGACAAAGCCTCTATTCTCTTCTGGAAAAATCCATCACCTATGAACTGCAAATATGCTTGCTTGTCATTGACCAGCACGAAAAGGCTTCGGCTACTTGATTTTCCCATTGATGTTGGTGCCGCAATGAGGGATTGTATCCACCAGTTCTATCCGTTTGGTGTTCAAAACGAGGTCAAATTACCAGACTCCAACCTAGAAATAAATATCAAGGGGTGGCCGTGGATTGTTCATGCACTGTCCAAGGGTGCTGCTTTCTATCACATGAGAGCTGTTTTGGGCAAAATGATGGCTATTGCGGCCCAGCACGGATGGTATGTTTCTATTTCAGCAGATGTTTCGTCTAAAGTAGGTGGAGATGACAACAATCAATATCCTTTAGATGTTCATAGCATATATTTTGTGAAGATGCAATGATAATTTTTCTCAGATTTTTAAACAAATAAGGACTTTAATACCAAACTCAAAAAGAGAAGATTATTCAATTCTGATATTTTCTGCTATTGTTTATTCTTTCAAGAAAATTTCTGATTTTTTCTGAATAGACTCAGTGATGTGCTTATTATGAAGGTAAATACTAAATAGATACTAATATAGTTGCTCAATAAACTGATGAGATTCTTAAATATTAGAGAACTGAAATTGATAACTGGGTAAATCATAGTCTGAAATTTAATATTTAAGTTGTTCAGCTTAAGTGGTCTATACTAATTTTATAGTAATATCGTCTAAAATATTGTAGACGATATAAATAAGTAAATATGAATAATGATCTAATTAAAATAGGCTATGTTTTAGCTCACACTATTATACGGTGCAGTACTACTTGTTTGTTATTTAAAACATGTTCTTGAAACTAAGAATTCTAGATCTTTGCTTTAAACTGTCCGAACACGGATCCCGCTCTAAGCTCACAACGTTAATTCCCACAAACAATAAACATTATTTAGATTCATTGTTCACATTCACATCTAACTTATTCCTCCAAATACACTATTAACTATCATGCCACCATGATAACAGTAATATCCATTAAAAGTACTCATAACTCATAACACGACAATCAGTGTCAGATAAGTCTAGAAGATGGGTATCAAAGTCACTGGCTGGTAACAATATGTTAGTCTTTATCAGACCTGTTATCTAATTATACCACACAGTTACTGACACATGTCCTATCTTTATGGAGACTGATAGCCAGCTACCTCCTGCTTTTCTTACAATACATGATGTGTTCAGCGATTAATAGTATTTGGAGCTTCCTGATTTTATTGTTAATTATCATTACATGGTAGTCAGGGATTGTTAGCTTTTACAACAGTTGCAGTGTTTTGCAGTTGATCGCATTGCTTAGAAAATTCTGGAGATAAGACATTATCACTTGTGATAAACAGTTTAGGGTTATTTTATAAATTATCTATAATTATTTATTAAACCTATCTCACGTTTACATATTATTTAGTCTCTGTTATGGGTTACCACATTTTTGAGTCCCACAATAATACTTGTCTCAACGAAATGGCAGTCTGTACCTTCCGCTTAATCAACGTAAGTTATGCTTTTTTAACGGCTACTTTTAGATTATCTCGAATGAGACGAGCGTGGAATGTTTTGAATTTATTGATCTACCACATTATAAATAAATATAATACTATTATAATGAAACGGTTTACGTTTCCGGAACTTTTAGGATCTGATCTAATCTATATAATCTAAGTTTTGTACCACCGTGAAAAACAAATTCAGTAAAATAACAGATCTCTCCCCCCAGGGATCAGTGATAGTGTTAATTGGAGGAGTGGGGTTTGTACTGTGTGTAACGGTAGTGTGCTGTATCACATTCAACATCATACACCTCTCTGAACAGCAGGTTATCTAGACTCTAGTAGATCTACTCACTCTAGTAGATCTACTCACTCTAGTAGATCTACTCAATCTACTCAATACAGGACCACGTCCTCTTCTTATCATAGCTACTTAACGTACTACTAATATACTTAACGTACTGTACGACTAGTGTTGGTCCTACTTACAGTTTACTATATGAAATAAATCTACTCTTCATCATGCTAGATAATGGTTATTTTCCACCCGAAAGGCCGGTTTACTGTAGAGTTATTGCAGTATGTGTCTTCGTTGAAATGAGATCAACGCGATTAAAGTTTATGTTTTCTAAGACTGCACTTAGGAAATAAGATTAAAATAAACTCCTAACATGTCGAAGTAAGATAAAAACTAAACATGCAATGTCTCCCATCCCTCAGAACGTGTTCGTGATGAACGTGCTGGTTTGTGAGAGTTGTATTGCAGTGATAGGACTACTCAGAGGTATGGGGATAATATCAAGGAAGTGGGCTGGTGTGGAGGAGGAGCCTGGAGGCAGGGAGCTTATATTTTGTCACATTTACCCTCTCGTATCTAGAATATTTTGGTGAGTTTGTACTAAGATCGCACCTACCCTCTTGTATCTAGAATATTCTGGTGAGTTTGTACTAAGATCGCATTTACCCTCTTGTATCTAGAATATTCTGGTGAGTTTGTACTAAGATCGCATTTACCCTCTCGTATCTAGAATATTCTGGTGAGTTTGTACTAAGATCGCACCTACCCTCTTGTATCTAGAATATTCTGGTGAGTTTGTAATAAGATCACATTTACCCTCTCGTATCTATAATATTTTGGTGAGTTTGTACTAAGATCGCACCTACCCTCTTGTATCTAGAATATTCTGGTGAGTTTGTACTAAGATCGCACCTACCCTCTTGTATCTAGAATATTCTGGTGAGTTTGTAATAAGATCGCATTTACCCTCTCGTATCTAGAATATTCTGGTGAGTTTGTACTAAGATCCTTGTTGCCAAATGTTTTGAGTGATAGCAGGTATTTTAAATTGCTGCGCTGCATGCAAAATGATTCGAGGGGTTTAATTTGATAAATAAAAAATATGACTGTTTTTTTGTTGTTGTTGTAAGATTTGTGGATCTGGACGCTGTAACTAGTAGACCTATTTTCTTAATTTGCTCACATCACTCACAGTCAGCCGCTCTGTCATGGTTAACCACCTTCAGGCTTCATTGTGTTGTTGGTTAATCATATGAACGGGATATAAATACCTCATTTTATTTCAAGAAAATACTGATATTCCATTGTTTCAGGTATTCTAAAGTCCCGGCCCTGCTGCCCCTAACAATTGACCGGTTTGTAGCGGTGGTGTTCCCTTTGAGGCACAAATCATGGATAACACGCAGAACAAGCCTTGTGATGATAACTGCTCAGTGGACTCCCTGTATCTTACTGGTTATCTATCAGATTATCAACTTTTATCTTGGAAACAGCCAGGTAAATATAAGAAAGCTTACAACCATCTTGCCCTCGTGCCGTTTCGTCTTGTCTTATCTGGCTTCAATATTTATTCGATGAAAGGATCACTCGAGTATCATGCGCAATATGCAACTATGCGAACTGATTATTTCAGATAAGATATCAGAAGTTCTACCACCGCTGTGTGTTATACGGTGAAAACAAGTTGATCAACAGACTAGACGCAGTCGTCTTCACCATCACTCCCTTCATCGTGATAGCAATCCTGTACGCCATCATCATCTACAACATCATCAAGAGTGGGAGGAACTGCACCAAGCTCCTCTTCAGATCCAGTATGATAGTAATAATGTGTGTAGTGGCCTACACTCCAACCTTCATACTAGAAGCGGGAGTTAGGATGAGTTACACGTGCGCGCAAGTGTCCACCGTCACTCTCTACTACGTAAACTGTGTGTTTGACCCTATTATCTACGTTTACTCGGATCCCAATGTGAGGGGGAGTCTGAGGTGGAGGGTAGGTGACAGGAGGAGGAGGAGAGGGGCTGTTTTTAACAGTACGATTAGAAGGAGCAGGTTACCAAGCTATCAAGCAGGTTCCCGTGGAAGTATAGGTACAAGGGTGACTAACTCCTCACGTGGAAGTATAGATAACTCTTCTCGTTATAATCTCATGGTCTCGAAGTGAACTGGTACTCTACAGCGGGAGATACCAAATCACTTCTAATATATCTTAGTTCTGGACACAACTCGGCCTTTCAAAGCAGTAAACTTGTTCGAAATGAAGTTCAAATAATGTGTCCAATAATCGAGAGAAATAATATTCTGCGATTTGCACCGCGATTTTAGTACCATGAATCTTTCAAGCAGAAATAAGACTCGAACCCTATCGCTTTTTCCTTTTGTCTGGTAAATATGTTCCAGCTAGATTAAAAATATTGTACATTATTTCGAATATTTCTATTAGATAATTTCCAGCTAGATTACAAATATTGTGTAATACTTCGAATATTTCTAGTAAACAATTTCCAGCTAGATTATAGATATTGTATACTCCAAATATTCAATTCATCTGCAGCTCTCTGCAGGATTCATGTTTAACAAACGTTAAACTAGCTCATGCTATGTTAAATACTAGACACACACCGCACTTTTGTAAACATGTAGTCTAGCACAAAACCACACGATATTCATTGTACTAATATTTGTAAGTCAGGGAAATACCTCAACAAAACACGTCTCATTATGACGTGCTGGAAGCATTGTAGGTGTGTCAAAATCACGGTGCTTTGTTTCCAGCAATCATTACATGTAGTCACATCATATCCGGCTGAATACATGAATGCTTTTAGAATGTAGCACAGAAATCAAGTACAGCTGTTAAATGTAGATTTTAAAATTCTTAAAATTTTGTTACAGACTCAATTTTAACATTTTGATTCTCTAGTACAGCAATTACAAAGCCGTTTAAGCAGGATCCTCATTTCAGCAGCACAAGATTTTGTAGGTTTGGAACAGTATTTGACAGTTTATTGACAGTCGACTTGGCCACACACACATATTCTCTCAGCCACAAACTAAGTGTTGAAATATTACCACGCTTCCGACGGTCAGACCGACGAAAGAGGGAATTTTTTTAAATTAATGATTTAATTTATTTAGGAGGGGCTCCCAGAAACTTTTCATTTTTTACGGAATACGGGTACGAAAATTACATTTTCACAATTATTTCTCAATTGCTGGTTTCGTTAAATCGTCACTTCTAGGTGAAATACTCAGCAAGCTTAGCCTCTCTTCGAAAATACTTCAACCTCAAGGCAACTTTTATTCCCCAATGACCCCTACTTTATTTAAATACAAGTTTAAACAGAAGCTTTAACATGATTAAGTACACTATAATCATTGATCTTCAGTTCGTGATTCAATACCCCAGTAAAGTAATTTAATTAGTACTACCTAACTATACTTTGCAGATAACAATCTAATAATCCATGATATCATGATGTATGAAAATGTATACTTGTTAGTTGACTCCCATCTCACTGAAACAAACCCGACACCCCAAAATGTATAATGTACATACTGCACCATGCTAGAAGTACAATTTCAGTATAGATCTGATACACATGCAGCTCAACAATTCCCGGTATTTCCCCGTGTAGGATGTCAAATATCCCGTACATGTGATAGTGTGTTACTGATTACACCTAGATGTACACTGTGCACACATCATCGAGTATGTAGCGATCGTTTTACAGTATGTGTGTGTGTAGTGTGTGGTGATTCGTCCATTATCTGATATAATACTAATCAACGTCTTTGCTGTCAGTCAGTCTGATGTATGTACAGAATGTAGAATGTAGGGACCCATTTTTTAATTTGTATATTACAGAGATTGTAAACAATTTAAAATGTATTCCGTAATAATGTTATGAACCATCTTGATAAAGTATTGTAATAAAGTTGTGTGTTGTTGACCTGTTATCAAGCATTACAAACTGTGGTAAACAGTTTAATAGGGCGTGGTAACTGGTAACTTGACTACTGGAGTGCTGTAACATAATATGCAGTCATGATGTAGTTATTACAAGCAGCTCCATTCTTTTGATGATGGAACTATTTTAAAATTGTTACCGCTCTAGAAGCATTTTGGAACGAGCAGTGCAACTGTTGAGGATAACTGTTGAAGTTTATTACAATGATGTTAAGCAAACCATGCAGACTGCCATGTTAAACAGTCAAAAATGTCAACATTTATCAGATTCCTAAGGATATTTACCTCGCCGATAGTATCGGATAATAATGTAAAGATTAACGAGATCATCTCGGCAGATATCCTGAAAACATTTGGGCTGTTAATATGTTGCATTAGATATTTAAATAATCTCCAATATTTTGAATACCGATCATGCCAATGTATAAATTAGTAAGTCAGAGTTCAGACCTCCAAAAAGGGAGAAGCCAGTAAACTCAAAAACCGAAATCTTAAAATTCTCAGTCGTTCGTCCACATAATAATATAATATTATGTATCAGTATTATTATGTTATTTTCGATATTATGTTACATAGCTAAGCATATTTCAATAACGGTGTACTGTGTAGTATCTCATGGACTAGTGGGTGGTTCATGTTTATTTGATCTCCTTGTTAGATTGTGAGAGTATAAAGTCAATACATTACAACTAACTTACATAATACTAAAACTCACAACAAACTAACTTTATTAGATTACAAACTAAAAGGTTTTAAGTTACATTATATACAAGGTATTAAGTTACATACCGTAAAAACGGTGCTGATATCGTTTAACCGTTCCCTGTCCTCAGGTAACCCATTCTTTGTTAGAGGAGCAAGAAACCTCTCACTGAAAAGTATTGTGACATCATTTTTTATAGTGTTATAATAGACATTGAATCTCAGAACTTTGGGAGAGATCAAGAAAATGGTTCAAATGTTCCGGAATGTTAATGGCCCGGGAATTAAATTCCTTAAATATTTGTAAATTTACATCATGTTATGTATATTTTGTGCTCTGTGCCAATACTCAGTGGGTAATGTATACAGAGTATTATTCCGTAATTTAATCATATTCAGCGGCAAGAATATTATTTAATATCACTGTCATCGCGGAATGGAAGTAAAGTTACCGGTCAACATTCCCATTTCCCAACCTTCCAGTTCTTCATAACATTATTGATATGTTGAGGAATGCATATTAGATATAATAAATAATAATATAAAAAAATTACAAATCTCGTACTACCTTCTTCAAATTGATATTGATATTGGGTTACTAAAACAACAGCTGCTCAGATATATCTAGCTACAGTTTAGATGTAACATTTAGAAGGTCTAACCTGATCATTTTGTTATCGTCGAAGTTGTAGAGGGTAGCGTAGACCTCTAATGGAGTCTGGTTAAGCAGCACACACTGGCATATTCCCAGGAACAAGTGAACTGGTTCGTTTGTTCTGGTTGCGTCTGATCCTTTGTGGGCCCGGTGTATGTTAACTTTCTTATGCTGAAAACAAGTATCTTAGCATCTCTTAAGTTAACAATAACTCAGCTTAAGTTAACAATAACTCAGCCCCCAAAACAACAGAGGAACTGAAAGAAAGTCTAGTACAGAAACTCACAATATTGTACAGTTCCAGAACTCCCTTTTGATCGGGAGATATGTCCGAGCAGGTGACGGGGTTTACTTTGTTGCCATGCTCATCACGTGGTACAAGATCCAGGCTGAGCAGCTGGTTACCGTTATCTATACTCTGTGTTATCTTCACTTTCTTTTCTTCCAATTGGTTCTGGTGGAATGCACAGATTTAACTATGAGGGATCTAAAGCTGTACACTTTGTAATTTGACTGGGTGAAAGCAGATTTTATCGATCATCGATTCTTTTTTCGCATGCAGTCTTCTCAAAGATAATGCTGCTCAGAATATTCAGAATCACACTTACATTTTTTAATCCTTGTTGTTACTTTATTAGTGTTGAAAGAGTTTAAAAAAATTAATTTTCGGCGAATACAATCCCAGTGATAAAATGCATTGCATGCCCCCAGCCCCCCCCCCCCCACTCTATTACCTGTCCTAGGACGCCCAAATAGCTGGAACTCAAGCACTTGATGATATCCGTCATTATTCCCTTGATCGAGCAGAAGAGATCTATTCTTGCTTTGTAGTTAAATAACTGGGAATCTTTGTATGTTTCCTGAAACGCAAACATTCTTATTAAATATTGATATAAAGTAGGCATACATTACATTTACTTTAATTCATAAATTAATATACTACTTTACTAAGTTCCCGACCAAATGGAGAAGATATAAACTGTAATTGTAAACACACGATACTATAACATAGTGCTACCACAAAGTTATAATCAGCTGAGAAGCCACTATATTATGACATGTCAGATGATTATCTTACAGGCTGGAGGCAGTTAGGCTGTCAAGAGGTGGAGCACTATATTATCAGGTCCTATTACTTTCATTAACGCCGAGAGAGAGAATACGTAAGCAAAGCATTGCAATGAGCTCCAGTCAGGTGTATGAGAGCCAGTTCATTAAATTATATTCATCAGATTCATCAGATTCATCATATTCGTGAACTTATTTATTATCAGTGCATCCTTTATTCATTTATGAAGCTCTTACCTGAACAAAGCATGTACAGCGTAGAGATAAGCCATTTGATTGTGAGTGGGATTATTAAAAGCCACCTATTCAGTGATTCTATGTTCTAAGTCATGAATTATGGGATCCTAACATACCGTAAACAAGTCCTTCCATAACTCATGCCATTCCCGCAGAACACTCTTCGCTTCCTCAGTTATGGGATCCTCTATGGGGATTATTGTGATCTGATTCCCGACAACTTCCCGTACCGAGGGCTTTATTTTAACGAAGGATTTGGGAAATATACCCTGAAGGATGAGAATGTTATACAATTCAGTCAGTGGTCATGACAAATTCTTATGAAATAGTTCAATCTGCCCTACTACTTTACTAATAACAATAAAGTTTCTGATAAAATAGAAGTTACAATTAAAGATCAAAACTCATGCTATTTCAAGCGCATTTTAATCACTTTTAAAATAATTTATCCCATATCCAAATTGTAAGCAAAAAGAATTTCTAATTAATTCCCCGCTCGAACACTGCAATAACTCCACCTTAATGTGCTGTTTGCTGGTTGAACATCCTCTGTACCACCCATCACATTCCTCGTATATGTACACTCGCTCACCTAGCTCAAGTAATAAGCATTGTGGGTGATCACGGTGGAGGTTGTACTCGAAAACTGCTGTTAAACGTTATAGATGTGAGTATCAGTTAAAACTGATGTGGCAAGAGATACAATCACGCAATACTACCCTATTTAAAAAATACTTTCAACTTTCAACTTCATCAAGCTCTTATTTCTATATAATTCATTATAGTTATACGTATACCAATGAGTAATAAGTCAATATAAAATAGTGTACAAAAGTGTTATATAAAGCTAGATGATTTACTCAATTGTTAGTAAATCAATTATATAAATTTCATATTATTTTCGTTGCCTATTTTTTGTTTGTTTGATATTTTAGCCATCAACACACATAATGTACACTACTAGGGCCGATTAGGGAAGAAATTACGAAATTATCAACTTACCAACTCCATAACAATTCTCATCTGGTGCAGGAGCCCATCTGCCCATACTCTCCTCTTTTCATTCAGTCTTCAGCATAATATTCGCCATCATTTTATATCCTAGCAAATTTAGATAATCATTATTAAAGTCTGCATTATATTTAAGTAAATTATACAATGAAAACTTTTTTACAGTTTATTTCTAATAGATGTAGCTACTTTAAAAATTGTTTTTCTAGTTTTAACATAATACTATGTAATACTTTATTATATAGTATATATACTAGAGATTCTGATTGAGAAACAGGGGCTTGTGATATCGTTGATAAGTTTGTTTTATTGAATTTTTAAAATCAATGAATACCAATATAATTCTAAATCATATTTTTTCGATACATTACTCAACAAATTCGTGCAATTAAATTATGCACCATTAATAAATATCAATGATTTGAATAAATAAGATTAAAATGATTAAAAAGTTCAAATGTATTACGCCAGTTATCCTGACATAAAATAGAAGTCATAATGACTGATAGAAGCTTCTTGAATCCAAGATATCAATATCCTAACAGAGATAATTTTGCCACATGATCAGTTTTTCGTTTAGTGGGCTTTAGATAACCCATGAAATGCAGCTCAGAGACAGCAGAGATGAACTGAGCATGAGTATCGCTACTGATCTTTTTCTTACCCAACATCGTATTGAAAGATTGAATCCAGTCATGAAGCGATATCAGTTTACCATGCTCATGAAACAAGTCATACAAATGACAAAGATCGGGTTTGGATGTTTTTTCTGAACCTTGTAAGTACAAATTAGGATTGGTCAAACCCCTATGGAGAGCAGTTCGACATTTCCCTACCAACACGTTCTGAAGTTCAATGTGGTTTGAATACCAAACAATTTCATTCATTGGCCATGAAGTTGGAGCTGTAAGGGTGCTGAAATAATTTTCTAGTCGAGAAATGAAAGACAATTGAATTTCTTTCAGTTTTTCAAGAGATGCTTTTGTTTCATCCTTGTCGGTTTTTCCTTCAGGCATATTTCCAAAGATAGCATCCATTTCGTCAATTTGTAGTTTGATAACTTTCATGAGAAGCTGTATTTTGGTGCTTGGACTTTTGATGTTTTGGCATTCATGGTATGTACTTTTCAAGCGCTCAAGAAAGGTAGAACTTTGAAGCATTCCAAAGCATTTTAATGCAACACAGACTTCCTTCTCTTCATGGACACAACCTTGCAGACAAAATGAATACAGCTCCAGGGGTTTACTCACAAGATTACTTCCAGGAATGTTTTTTATCAAATTATGTAATACTTTGAAACTGTAGAATAGTACCAGATAATTTTCATTACACTCTTGAAACATTTGATCGATTGCACTATTATCTCCTTGCAGAAGTTTAAGAGCATAAGTCTTATTTGATACAACATTCTTTTCTACATGCTTTTGAACAGATGGCAATTGCAAAAAAAGTGCCTTTTCTTCACCACTAAGATCAGTTGTTTTGAATTCCAAACCATTTGCAGTTGCTTGTAAGTATTTGAATAGAGGCTGTTGCATGCTATGAGTAAGCAAAGCTACATCAATTGTTTTCATCACATCATGGAGGCTATAACTCGAGAAACTAAACCTACTTAGAAGAACTTCAAACGTTCGGTATGACAGCTTGAAAGGAGTCTCAGTTCTTAGAAGAGAACTGAACAGTACCCTCTCCAGAAGCAGAGTTGGTGATGGTGGAGTAATTGTTGCAATATTGAGTTGACTTATTGCTGTTGAAGACATCCATTCTGCAGAAAGTTCTGTCCCAGTTGATAAACCCAAGACAAAGAATAGAGGGAATCTCTTATTTCTAGAAGAGCATACCTCAATAAGTTTGTCCATAACGGATGATGGAAGAACATCAAAACGTGGAATGAAAAATACAATTCCATTACTAATCTGGCTTTCCATGACATGGTTGAACAAACCTTTCATGGAGAGGGTTTTACCCAGGATCTTGTTGGCGTCATCATCAGATGTCAATATCTGATTAAAAACATCTTTCAAGACAGAAGTAATTTCAGAATTCTGGGATGAATTTATGGTTGCACATTGCAAGTTTAAGCTTTCCTTTACTTTCTTTGAAGCAAGCTCATAAATGGGTGAGAATTCCTGAAAGTTAACACCTATTTTAAGAGTTAATGTTGGGATACCAATGTTTAGAGAAGCTTCAAGTCCATTTTGGATGAAGGTTACAATTTCAGAAGCCATGTCTTTGTTAACTTCATCTAGGATAATCTCAATGGCATCTTTGAATTTCCTTTTGGTTACAAGGTACTGATCATATCTTGTAGATAATGACATTTTTGATTCCTCAGTAAATAAGTAGGGAAACTCAGGAGAGCGCTCACGTCTTTTAGAAGGTTTCTTTACAAAACATCCAGTTGATAGAGAGGTAAAATCATCCATTATTTTACAACCTGGATGTATATTGTTAACAATGAAGTTCATCAATAAACATAACTATCCTATAATTTAGTATAATATACATTTAAAAAATAAGAATCACAAAGTATATTATTGTAATCATTGAGATAAATCCTTCTTATATCTTGATTAAGTCTATATGTTTCTATTTTTTTAAATATATAATATACACATGCAACAGACTTCAGGTTAACTTGGCTGAATGATCGTTCCCAGATGATCATGGGGCCACTGCTCTCGACTTCGGAACCCCCCCCCCCCCCCCCCCACTGTTTACCTTGCAGCAGCTGTAGCAGCCTGACATACTCTCAAAATATGATCACATTTCTTTCTAATGAACAACTGGGTCCTTTTACCAGCCACAATAAAATTGATCATGCCAGTACTGTCATAAACTGTAACCAACTATTTAAAAATTAGATATCTTTTGCTAAATTTTAAATTTTAAGTCATAGAGCAATCTTCTCAATTTTAAAATTTTTAAGAATTATATTTTAACTATGATGTGGTGGCATTTCATACTTAACTAAATTTCAACTTTGAAAGTAAATAGATTATTAGTGACAACAAAATTATAGTTTAAGACATCCATTCTGCATTGTGTTTCCAATATTAGAATTTATGATATGTATTGATTGAATAATTGGTAATAAATTTAACTTTTGTTTTATTACTTTTGTTTTATTAATATACTCATTTTAAATCAAGTTCTCGTCCACTGTCAACTCGGCTGCGGTATTTTGTCCATATGTTGCATTGTCTTCCTGTGTCCCCGTCTTCCTGTCGATGCATTCTATCGAACCTGGTCCATACTTCAAGCAATTTTATGTTTGACTTATCGTCCAATGAAATCGCTGCATTTTGCAAGTCATTATGTATAATTAAATCAATTGTTACAATTTTGACTTATTGATAACAACAATTATTGCTCTTAGAGGAGAAAGAGGGATAAAAAGTGGTAGTGCAGTTAAAATATAGTGGATTAAGATATAAATTTAGAACCAATAAACTGAATCGGCTACTATTTTACTACTTAAAGGGTTTTTATCAAATTTATTTATTCAACCTATGTCCCTCGTATGTAAAAGAGCGGAATGGAATCATGAATAGGACAGCAGGATGTGAGAATGCAAAAAAAACTGGTACGTACAGAAAACAAAAAAGACCAAACTACGCCTAGGAAGGGTTAAAAGATTGGAACGTTCAATGTTAGATCCTTAGTGAACAAAACAGTCGGAGTGTTAGAGCATCGTCGAGAAGTTGATTGTGACATCTGTTTTGTACAATGTACAAGAAAGCTTCTTTCGTGATGGAAACACATCTCAACGAAAAAACACAGAGAAGGAGGAAATATAGCTGTGCTATTTTGTGATTTGTAGCGCGATGCGTTACTGTGCCGCGCCGCGTACTCAATGAGGCTTCTCACGCCTCGCTAGATCGGCAAAATGCGCTATACTGTTGACTGTGCCTCGCAGAACTGCGATGAATTGACATCGTCAACTAATTTCGTGATATGCAATATAAATAGTAAGGTCATGAAATACATTGTCATACGTTGTATGACCCGCCACGCACAAGTGCGCGGCTCCCCTGTATCGTAGGAACTCTATAGTGAAGCGACAGTGGGGGTCACCACGTGATACAAAATACAAATCCTTCCAAGTTTGTGAAACTTGTGAACTTGTATAGCTAAATTGTAAATTATATAAATATTTTATGGATTTGCTTTTTATAAGATTGATTAATTTAAAGGAGCGCGCACTATATCTAGTCTTCACAAAAATTACATTTAATTTAAAACATACGTCTCACTGCTAAGAAGTTTGCAAAATAAAAATCCCAAATTTCGTACCCCGAATTAAATATTGATTTAATATGTAATAGTATCCGAATTATTAATGGTAATTATTAGTCGGTTACTACTATTGATTCACGATGTCAATCCTTCGTAGCTCGGTGAGGCACAGTGGTGCATTTTGCCGATCTACAGTGGTTGCGAGAAGAATTATTTGATGCGCGGCGCGACCCAGTAGTGCATCGCGCTACAAACTACTATATCTCCTATAAGTATATAGCTAAAAGAGGTAACGCAAATAAGATATATCTTTGTTCGAATGTGCGTACTCTCAAAAAAAACATTCTCAACAAAAATTTTCAATGCCTCAAATCTTATTGTTGTTTTCTATACTTTCTTAATTTATAAGGTCAAATCCCGAATCTCGGCGAAAAAGGTTTTGGTATATGTCCCCTTAAACTGCCAGTCACTTTTGGAAATAAATGTTGCTATTTAAAGTATTACCAAATACACTATTTGAGAAAAGTTCGTTATTTTGGTTTAAAAGTACGTTAAGTGTGTACTAACTAACTATGCTCGTGCGAGCATAAAAATTGGGTCTAACCTAATAACTCAACAACCTGAAGTCTGAAGACTTTAAAACCATCCTCTACCCCACTCAATGTATCTCAGAAATGTGTTTTTGTTAGTTACAATTCTGTCCGTCCAATTTCCTATCTGCTTGTCTTCTTCTTTTTTCTTATATCAGTTGTGACGGAATTGTAATGAACAAAATGCTTATAATTATTTATGATATGTTTGATTTCTCGTTATTGTTTGTCATTCAAATTTGGTAGACGGCCCCAACGTTAATGTGGCTCTTGCTATGTGTTGGTTCAGCCGAATTAATTATTATGTAATCAAGTTTTTTCTCTTTTAGTTAGTTGTCATCCGGCCAAACATTAAGCAACTTATATTGCAGTACCATTTATCAATTAGTATATCAATTTTTAAAAATGATGATTATGACCATTCTAATGCCGAAGATGATCGCTTAACTCCAATCAAAAGCTGAGATATCTTGAAATAAGTGTGATAATTGTTACTCGCGATACTTTTAATGTAGTAAAATCGGGTTTTTGATGATTTCTCAAACACTAAGTCTCTTAGGCCTTAACTATGTTCATAGTACTAATACTAATTCATAGTACTACTAATTCATAGTACTCTATGTAATATAAATCAAACTTGTTTGAACCCCTCTAACTGACCAACTTCTGACCCCAAAAATTAAATCTTAGAATGGGACAAAACATCTAATTAACCTTTTTGTGATCTCCCAAGGATGAGACAAGGTGGGCGCAAATTCCAATTTCTTGATTTTCACAGACATCATTTGAACAGAAAAACTTTTGAAAGTTGTGTCTGGGTGAACAAGGAAGAAGGAATATTTAAAGTGCGATGGCCGAAGGCACCAAAACAATCAAAACCTGAAGATTTGGGTATTATGTTTGAATGGTGGAATCTTAGAATGGGAAATACTAAACAGTACGATGAACCTTCCATGATCAAGAATAACTACAGGTAAGAATTTGTAATTTATTGTATGCAGATCGTCGGAGAGGTGAAATGTGTTTGCATTGTTTAATGACATTTATGATAACACAGAACTCACAATTTTGCTTACAAATTTTCGTTTTAGCAATAACTACTTCTTTCCAATGATATCTGCTGTTTCCAGATCTGCCCAGAACTCCAAAGGTAATTCAAAAGGATTAAAGAGACGAAAAGATCTAGAGTATGGTGATGGAATTGGCACACCCTGGAGAGTACTCCAGTTTACGGATATAGTTGTGGAACCTAAAGAGCCTGATGAAACTGATCCCAGGTAAACTCAAAAAATCGTTTCCACGGCATTCAGCCGTGATCAGAGTCAATGAAACAATAAGTTTTCAATAATAATTTCAAGAAAAGAATTCGTATTTTAAGAGAATAAGTTCTCACTTTAGATTATTTCCAAGTTTTCAAGCAATAAAATTGATAGAAACCTTGATAAAAAATCCGGAAAGATTAAAATGATAAATTGTAATGTGATCAATAAGTTTAATATGGTCTCTACGTTTTATAAGTGATCTGAAATGTCTGAGAATAAGTTAGTTAGATTAGCTGTTATTTACTACTTCACTTTTCAGTATAACTGATCCAAACGGAGGTATAGCTGTTTTTGATCCAGGCGAAGCATATGCTGATATTATTGTTGATGGGGAGTTTGAAGAGGTGAAGAATGGCAACCAAAAGTGGGAAATCACAGTCACGGTATTGCTATGTTTTCTTTTCATTATTTAACATTGTTGTTATCGTGTTTCACGATCATTAATGATAGTACAAATATCAATTTAGTGGTCTTACATGTTGAATTATGAAATTTAACTAGATTACACTCTACTAAATATAATCGCACTATAGGACTTAGAATTTTTGCCCTAAATAACCCAGTAGGAACTTCCAGTTTCTCACAACAGTTTGTTCTGAGAAGGCATGTAATGGCTTCCAGAGCACTTCAAAACTCTAAATAACTATATATACATGATGATTCAGTAAATCTAGCAGTATTTAGCAAAGTTTTTTCGGCCCTTTACAAGGATAAAATGAGCAAGGAATATATACGATTCTTGTCTTTCCCACTTTTAAACAAACTGACATAGCAACACTCCTTTCTACCTCAACAGGCGTTTGGTAAAAACCGAACAGAGCTCTGGAGTTATACTTACGATTTTGCAAGGGAAGGATTTGGAAAGAAGAAACTGCTTGTTTATGTCAATGGTATGTAACTTTAATCCTGGGAATCTTTACTATGCTACTTAACTGATGTTTTGACGTTGCCTTACGTTGTCTAACGATTGAACTGTTACATTATTTGTTGATCATATACCAGTAGTGGTCACTAAAACATGCTTTGATCAGGTAAACGGGCAAAAAATCTTGGAGAAAATCTAAAGAAGAATATCCATAACTTAGATATTGAAAATCTCAATTTGGACTACCCTATTGATCCATCTTTACATAAAATGTTTAGTGAGGAATTTTTCGATCCCAGGTACCCACATGATTACAATATTAGATTAAAATCTTTTTTATTAGGATGCCAAATAATTGGTATAAAGTTATAATGTCAGACTTTGATAGCTTTACTGGTTATATAATTTGTATATTTTTCAAGCATCTTCAGTTTTTATTTTTCAGGGATACCAAAAAACCGTTAACTACTCAAGATACGTTTTGCCCTGGTTTTATTTTGGAGGTTGACAACTGCTTCAACGTTTTTGTTACCAGGTAGATTATCATGGTTTAGCATGAAAGTAATGTGATTTTTCAATCCAGTACAACTGACATGACTAAAAATTGAAAAAAGGACAACTTCTTCACAATGCCATATTACTTTTAATACTCTGATTCTCAATGTGCTAATCATGTTTACTATTTTTCTGCAGGTTGAGCATGGCACGAATTTACTATGGGCACCATGGTGAACAAAACCAGTGGCAAAAACTAGAATGGATGAAAGATGGTAAACGATACCTAGATTCTATGGAATCGCAAGGTCTGTAGTTAAACATATTTATCAATTTTTTATAGTTCAATTATCTTACTTATAATTCAAAAAATTATTTTTGTCTGTATGTACGACCGCCCACGCGCAAATTAGATGAGAAATAAGAATTTGCAAAGTAACCATGGTAACGAGGGTTATTACACGCACATGCACGTGCAATGACTGTTTTAACGTCATTTTGATCGGTTTTGTTGATAGTACGCTGTGTTTAGTACGAACATCATTATAATTGGCTTCATCTTCGGTTGTGTAGGATATTTTTTGACGCGATTTAAACTTACTAACAAAAAATACTATTAGCTTCCTCCCTGTGACCACGGGTTTTCTAGTCTCTACTATAATTCAGAAAATTCTTTTTGTTGTACGACCGCCCACGTGCAAATTAGACGAGAAATAAGAAGTTACATAATAACCATGGTAACGAGGGTTATTACACGCACGTGCACGTGCAATGACTGTTTTAACGTCATTTTGATCGGTTTTGTGAAAATTACGCTGTGTTTAGTACGAGCAACATTTTAATTGGCTGTATCTTCGGTTCTGTAGGATGTTTTTGACGCGATTTAAACTAACTAACAAAAATACTATCAATATTAGCTTCATCCCTGTGACCACGGGTTTTCTAGTCTATATTATAATTCAGAGAATTATTTATGTAGAATGTACGACCGCCCACGTGCAAATTTGATGAAAAATAGGAATTTAGGTAACAACCAAAAGGTTCCATAGCAACGGTGTTTTAATGCACACATGCACGTGCAAAGATTGTTTTAACGTCATTTTGATCGGTTTTGTGGTAATTACGTTGTGTTTAAAGTGTTTTATATTTAAATCGGCTGTATCTTCGGTTGAGATGGATATTTTTTGATGCGATTAAAAATTCTTTCAAAGAATACTTCTAGCTTCGTCCCTGTTACCACGGGCTTTCTAGTCTTACTTATAATTCAGATAATTATTTATGCTGTATGCTGTATGCTGTGCGACCGCCCACGTGCAAATTAGGCAAACAAATAGAAGTTGCATAGTAACCATGGTAACGGGATTCAAAAGCGCACGTGCACGTGCAAAGATTGACGAGCGACATTTTTATCGTTTTTTTTGTTATTACGTGGTGTTTAGTGCGAGCTAAATTTGATTCGGCTGTATCTTCGGTTGTGGCGGATATTTTTTGATGCGATTTAAACTTATTAACAACAAATACTATTAGCTTCCTCCCTGTGACCACGGGTTTTCTAGTCTATATTATAATCCAAAGAATTATTTCTGCTGTGTAAAAATAATGTATGATGTACGACCGCCCACGTGCAAATCAAACGAAAAATATGAATTTCCGTAGTATTCATGGTAACGAGGGATATTATGTTATTACACGCACGTGGAACTTGCAATGATTGTTTTAACGTCATTTTGATCGGTTTTGTTGATATTACGCTGTGTTTAGTACGAGCAACATTTTAATTGGCTGTATCTTCGGTTGTGTAGGATATTTTTTGACGCGATTTAAACTTTCTAACAAAAAATACTATTAGCTTCTTCCCTGTGACCACGGGTTTTCTAGTATTTATATAATTGTATGTACGACCCCTTCTACAAGAATGTACGACCTCTCTTCTGCAAACTCATTTAACCATTCCTTCCTAATTCTTGCAGTATGAGTTCCCTCTTCAGCCCTCTAAATACCAGCCAGCATAGTTGATGTTCTAGGTCCTGAAAAATTGAAATCATTGTTCAAATCATTTTTTGAAATCATAATAACTGTAATGTCAAAAAATCTTCAGATGGTGTAAAACAAATGGTATTTTCGTACAAGAAGTTCATTCGTACCTCCAGAGTTTACGAAAATTGGCTAGAACAAGGTCAGTTTCCCGCTCAGTCAGCTCAGAATGAACAGAAATTCTCAAATTTATTTTAACTTTTCTGGTTCAGTAATTTTTCTGTTTCATTATGCTATTTCTTACGATCAACCTCAACCACTCAACCAGGCAAGCCTGAGATAAGCCTGGTAGACTCAAAGGTATTGATGCCGGTTGACAATGTACCAAGCATGCAAAGGGGATGCGATTCTGGATGTGACTTCTTCTTCGAAATAGAACACAAACCTGCAAGAAAGATATATAAGCAGATAAGACGCAGGGAAGAACAAAACCCGCCTTCAATATTCGTAAGAGGATAATATTTTAAAAGAACGGTAATCATAGTTTTGCGCTCAGAAAACGGGTCAATATTTCCATGCTACCCAAATTCACAAATTGGTATTTGATGCAAAATGCACGTTACTTGTAACTCGCTCACATATTGATTATTTGTAGCTCAAATTGCAGGTGAGTGACCCATTAGACGATCTTTTTGGGAATATGACAGTTAACAATGAAAACAACGGAGTAAACAACGTGCATTATGGAGCAAACAACGTGCATTATGGAGCAAACAACGTGCAAAATGGAGCAAACAACGTGTATTATGGAGCAAACAGCGTGCAAGATGGAGTAATAAGCGTGCATTATGTAGTAAACAACGTGCAAAATGGAGTGAACAATGTGCAACATGGAGTAAACAACGGGGATTATGGAGCAAACAACGTGCATAATGGAGCAAACAACATGCAAAATGGAGTAAGCAGCGTGCAAAATGGAGCAGGCTTCGTGCAAAATGAAGTAAACAGCGTGCAAAATGAAGCAGGCACCGGGAAAACTTACTCCATTTCTCAGGTTATCTTCTATGCAATTTTAATTGAACAATCAACATAATATTGTTGTCATATTATGATATGGCTATTCTCATCTCTCGACATGATCGTTATTCGTTATTGTAGTTTGCGTGTCTGACTTAGGTTTGTTACCATCCACACTCCACAGGCAAATGCAATGGATACCAACACCTTCGGTAAGTTTTATCAAATTGAGAAATCGTTGACGTTTAGCTAGACATCTATCATAAATAACTATTTCCCTCAGCACTTTATTTCGACTATTTCACCAAATGCATTTAGGATGTTTGCTCATATGGAAACTTTAGACCACCTCCACCTGCTTTACCAAGAAATAAAACGAACTGAGTGATAATAATTTCAGAAAATTGATCAATGAACCTTGAACGGTACAAACAAACTCTGTTGGAACCCCTCCAACTTTTACGCAAAAAAAGGAAACTTTTACGCAAAGCTTTTACGTAGAAATTACATTAGCTTAAACGTAGGCCTACGTAGGCTACCTACGTAGGCTACCTACGTAATATGCGTCATGCGAATGATCCGTATTATAATATTTTCCGGGAACAAACAAAACTCTGTTCATAATACAGGTCTTGATCAGACTTTTCTTTTTACTGTTCAAGTTTTCTTGTCGCTTGTGTTTTTATATTACTATACTGATATCTGCAGGTATTTGCAATCTGTGTAACTGTGTCCTGTGTAGCTGTAGAAAAGGCTTTCCCTTCGAAATCAGCAATGAACTCAGGACATATTATCAGATATAGTATGGATTATTTTCAAATGGACAGATACTACTTACCTCTCTGATGGTGTAATGTTGAATTGTATACTTTTATTTAGAATTGTTTAATAAAGTAATTACATTACAGTTTCTACGAGAAGAATAATATTCTTTTTGGTATTGTGGATCTGTTTTTTAGTCGAATTGTCTCCGTCATTAGATTATTAAATCGTTTATTTGGGTGAATTGATTTTAAGTTATTCTTAATTTACATATTTTGTGTTTTGCAAAAATTAACCATAGTTATTTATTATTTAGCTACAATGATAAGTTGGCTATCTTTCATTTAAATTAGTTATCTAGATAGGAATTTATTTCGGTGGTTTACTTCAGATTATTTTGGGATGTTTCTGTACTCTTAAGTGAATAAATTAAAACCAGCTGGAAAAAGAAATTGTATATGTAGAAGTAAGACTAATTGTCTTTTATATATGCCAGAAAATTTAACCAATATATGATAATGTTTTAGTCGAATCGTTTAGATACTTTTATTTAGATGGGTGGGGGAGGGGGATGATTAATGCTGACAGTTGCTGACGGAGAGGGGGGGGGGGGTGGGGGTAACAATTGGCAATTGGCAAAAATTTGCTGACGTAATATGAGAACGCTCCCATATAATTGTTTAATATAATAATTACTGTACAAATTTTTATGATGAGATATTCTTTGTAATGTCGTGGAACTGTTTTATAGTCAAACTGTCGCAAACATTTATTTTTATAACTTCATTGGTCATTATTAGTCCAGTCAGTGCCCTTAAATAATTACATGAAAATGTTTGTTTCACTAATAGTACAGTCAAATACGTCTTTTTGTCGGACATAATTCCCAACAAAGCGATTTCCACGGGAAATGGTCGAGACAGGTCCCAGGAATCATTCCAGAGAGTTCCCAAAATTTCTGACTTCAGCAAAATCCACAATTACCACTTTTTTAAAGTAAATGTCCCTGGTATTTTTGATCATCTTAAAAATCATTTAACAATGTTCCTATTCAAATGAATAGCTAACGAACAGATTAATTTTTATATGTAATTTCATGATAGAAATATACTCAAATAATATACACAGATAAATTCGGCAGTGGTAACTGTCTAATTATATGGTTATACACCCACTAAAGTATAATTCAACTAATAAATTAAAATGATAAAAATTTAGTAAAAATCTTAACTGATTCATTGAAATGTTTTATCATAAGTATTTTTCCTCCTTAGTATGAGACATCAAAGACGCACACTCTCGTTTCTTGACTTTCACAGATTCCATTTGAACAGAAAAACCTTTAAAAGTTGTGTCTGGGTGAAGAAGCAAGAAGGAATATTTAAAGTGCGATGGCCAAAGGCGCCAAAAAATTCGAAACCTGAGGATATGGGCATATTGTTTGAATGGTGGAACCTCAGAATGGGTAATACTAAACAGTATGATGAACCTTCTATGATAAAACAAATTTACGGGTATGTTTTTACATTATTGCGGCCTATGGGCCAAATCTTGGGTTTTAGGGTAGACCAATTTATCGCTGTGAAGAGTATACTAAAAATGGTCTTGTTTTTCTTATGACCTTCACAATCAGGCGTATACATTGATTCAATACTGCTTTATAGATTGTAAGCAGTAACTAGGTACCTTGCTGCCCAAAATTAAAATCTTAACTGTTTGCAGGTCTGCTTTGTACAATAAGATAACGAAATCAAAAGAATTGAAGAGGCGAAAAGATCTAGAGTCCAAAGATAGAATTTGTCCATTCTGGAGAATCCTCCAATTTACTGATGAAACGGATATAACTACAGATATGGAGATAGGTGATACTGATTGGAACACTAGGTAACCGTTTTAAAAGATTTCCCTCAAGTTTACAAGAATTATGTTATGTCTATTTAGAACCTACCAAAAAACTGCCTGTTTTCTAATTTGTACTAAAATTGGTTCCAGATAATAATACATTATTATTTCAGTATAACAGATCCAGATGGAACTCTGTTTGATCCAGGTGACAAGTATGCTGAGACTGTTCTCAACGAAGAGTTCCAAGAGGTGATACTTGGGAATCAGAAGTGGCAAATCACCATCACGGTATTTAAGTAATTTCTTCTTTTATATTATTACTAGACTTGATTCGTAAATGTTTGTTTAACCATATGTCACGTCTGATACTATTTCATTATGACTTTATGAGGGCGAGGTACACTTAATTTTCTACGAATTACGATCTTGATACCTTAGATTGTTTATGTCGGTCAAGAGATAGGTTTTTCAACTATAAAATAGAAATTACACAAAGGGCAGGACTCGGACACTTACTAAACAAATACACCCGCAGTGTATTCTCCCAAAACCTATTGTGAAAATGTGACCATTAGGTCTCCACAGGCGTTTGGTAAAGACCGGACAGAGCTTTGGAATTATACTTACGACTATGCAAGAGAGGGATTTGGGTCTGGGAAACTTCTTGTTTATGTCAACAGTGAGTGAATGTAGTATATTTATTCGGTGTAAGGGTATTTCTAACTTTATATAGGCTCTGTGAACATTTTTTGAAATTTAAACTGTGAATAACTAAACTGAAATGTTTCATTATTTTTTGATAGTAGCTGTGATTAATTTCTACTTTTCTCAATTTCTCAGGTAACCGGGCAAAAAATATTGGAGGACATCTTGGGAAAAAGATTAAAAACTTGGATGTTCGAAATCTGAACACACACTGCCCTATTGATCCTAGCAAACATGAAATGTTTCGCGAGGAATTTTCTGATGCAAGGTACGTTCGTGAATTGAATAAGTATCCCTCTCCTTATTAGTAAACTAGTATGCCAAAAATAAAGGCTGAGTATTTTACATTCATAGCTCCGGTATTATAACCATTTATTTTATAGTATATACTATATTATCAGTTTTTCTACTCTCAGAAATCTTAATACGAAGTTCACAAGACAAGATACGTTTTGCCCTGGTTTCATTTTGGAGGTCGACAACTGTTTTAACGTTTTTGTTACCAGGTAAATTATCATGTTAGACTGACTGAAAATATTATGCCTGATTATTTTGCTAATGCTCTTCCAAATGAGCTCATAATATTTACTAATATATGTGGTTTACAGTTTGAGCATTACAATGAGCTCATAATATTTACTAATATATGTGGTTTACAGGTTGAGCATGGCTCAGTTATTCTACGGGCACCATGGTGTACAAAACCAGTGGCAAAAACTTGAACGGATGACAGATGATAAACGATACTTAGATTCTATGGAATCTCAAGGTCTGTAGGCGATAATGATCTATTTTGTAAAACGTTATTGCAACTGCATCATTGAATACATTTTGATACAAATTCTGGGAATGTTGATTTCGTGCAAAAAGATCATGTTGATCCGTGATTTATCATTATTCACCAGTAAATTGATATAAAATATTTCAGATGGCGTAAAACAAATGGTATTTTCGTACAGAAAGTTTATTCACACATCCAGAGTTTATGAAAATTGGCTAGAGACAGGTTAGTTTCTGCCTTATATACCTAATCTTACCGAATATACTCATTATTCGCTCACTTGGAAAATAAAAAAGGGGGAAGTATAAGGGGAAATTTAAACAGGAAATGCAAAAGGGGAACTGTAAAACGGGAAATTCAAAACGGAAATATATAGCGGGAATGTATAAGGGGAAGTCTAAAACGTGAAATGGAATGAAAGCGGTATCTTTTGGTTATTTTATGGGATGAATGTATTTGCCAATATTCACGAACTGACAATAGAATTAAACCAGGAAAGCCTGAAATAAGCCTGGTAGACTCGAAAGTATTAATGCCGGTTGACAATGTACCAAGCTTGCATAAAGGGTGCGATTCTGGATGTGACTTCTTCTTCGAAATAGAACACAAACCTGCAAGAAAGATATATAAGCGGATAAGACGCAGGGAAGAACAAAACCCGCCTTCAATATTCGTAAGAGGATAATATTTTAAAAGCTGATACTATGTACTATGAGCACTTCACATTCGCCCTAAACAAATATTGTGGTAGACATATTTCATTTGGTGGCTGCATATACGTTTGAATTTTCGGCAGTTCAGTTAACTTTATGATCCATTAATAAGAAACCCTGCATTCTCTTCTTGTGATAGGTAGATTTCTATGATAAAATTTTTTACAATGCCTTTTTTATCATTACAATTTACAGATAAGTGACCCAAAAGATGATCTGTTATCGGAGTCTTTCAAGAAAATAGCACTGACCGACGAACCGAGGATCGTGCAACCTGTCTGGACAACTTGGCCACTTCCACAAGGTATTTAAATCGTTATATTCTTCAGACTCATTCTCCAGTTCCCTGTTTCATAAAATTGAACTGTGTGTATTATAAATAATATTACATTTAAATCTAAAAGATACCACTCACTGGTCCACTCAGGCTGGGAGAAAAGATTTGATAATAATTCTAGACGACATCATTTTGTGAATCACCACACTCAACAATCCCAATGGGATGATCCTAGAATTTCCGTCTATGAGGAAGAACAACGAGAGGTAAATTATAAATAGCGTTTTTTTGCTGTAGTAACCACTAATTCGCTTATTACTATATATAGTAGTCGTAAACCAGTTTTCGGCCATTCATAACCCCTCCGCTAAAAACTTTTACGCAAAGCTTTTACGTAGAAATTACATTAGCTTAAACGTAGGCCTACGTAGGCTACCTACGTAGGCTACCTACGTAATATGCGAATGATCCGTATTATAATATCTTCCGGGAATTGTTTCCCCGAAAAGTCGTGGAAGCGTCGGGCATTATCGCCCGTAGCACTCAACAGCCAAGGTATTATTGTATTATACTCCCTTACAAACAACGTTAAGTGCACAGAACCCTGCATACCTCAATATGAAATATTATCGTTTAGTGTCCCAGAAACTGATCAGTGGCGTAACGAAGGGCCCCGCTGATCCCGCTGTGCGGGGGGGGGGGGGGGGGGGGGGGGGGGGGGGCGCCGTCTTAGGGGGGGGGGGGGGGGGGGGGCGCCAAATCGTCGTTTGAATGTGGGACAGTTTCGAAAACTTAACTAAAGTACTAGCAAAACTGCGCGTTTTGCTCTAGATACACAATTTTTTAGAGATTTTACCGGCGTATCGTCTAAAATCACCTAATATGTTCAATTTTAGGGAGGGGCACCAAAAGGGTAGGGGCGCCAACAGGGGGGCGCTTTTTCGGCGGGGGGCGCCAACAGGCAACGTTACGCCACTGAAACTGATAATCGCAGAAGAAGACTGATAGTCGTAATATCATATTTGTAGTGCTGTTGGGGTTCTTGTTAACTTCATCGGTCGGCGCGGTCCTTACTGTTGACCTTAATCCAACTTATCTGGGGCCTCTAAAATAGAGGCGATGTCGCTGGATTATTGATCGGTATAAAATTTGTTTTATTAATGTCTTATCGTATCATGACTGCACTTGTAACCTGATAACAATAAAATGTCTGTCGATGAATAAACTAGAACCAGCTTCGCTGCATATTACATAATCACTTTTTGAACAATTTTTACCCCCCACCCGTAATCATTTGGAAACCCTCCTCCCCCCTCGGCTGATTACGTACTATGTGAACAACCACTATAGTGCATAAAATGGATAATCATCAAATAATAATTCAAAACCATTACCACTTAACACTTTTCAGGCTAAAGCTATCGAGGAAAGCGCAATTGATCATGGTAAGCAATCTTAAACAATAATCTCAGAATGTAAGCAATACTTTATAACCCCCTCTTCTGAACATACAGTTGTTATAAGATAGAAAAGAGAGGAAGCAGTTAAGGCGACCATCCAGTCATGGGTTAGAAACATTTCATAATTATAACTGATACTATTTTCATATTTTAATTCTAAATTATTTCAGCTCTTCGTGATTTGGGTGACGATTTTCTGTTCAACGAAATCATGTGCATCCCCGAAATCATGTGCACTCCCTAGTGGTTTCCCATTTGAATTGAAATTAAAGCTCAGAATAAGATGGAAATTTACTGTGGAGATGTATAACTGTCTTTAATAATACCTTGTGAAATACTTTTAATGATCATTGTTAAAATAAGGTAATAACTGATAACTGATTTTATGATAACACTTTTGATCTAGCTGTTTTTAGAACTGTTTTATGATTTTTTATATCTTTAAAATCCGTTTTATAAGTTTAAAATAGCCAGAATTAGTAATTTATCATTAAACTATATTGCAGATAGAAGTATATTTTAGAGTTTTGCATCATGTAAGCCAGGAAATTGGAGCCATTCTGAACCGCAGTTTTAACATCGTAGCTTAGATTTATAATTAATAATCATATATGGAGGATTTAGTCAGCCTATTAGTACTGTGATCAGTGAAAAAGCAAACTCAAAATCTACCAATCCATCCTTTGGCCCTCTGCCCATTTCACAAAATGAAATATATTTCTTGGCTCATGTTGTGTTATAAAAATTCATTCGACCCTTAGCTTACGGACATGCTGCGTTACATTGTACATCTGATAAGGGATTACGTCACCCCTGCATATTGCATAAATGGTGTTGCTCGTTTTTAAGCAAAAATTGTGGTAAACTTGACCATGAACTTTCTTTCATGTTAGTATGTTTTACAACAAAATTTCGTTTTTCTTCTTCATTAAACTTAGATCTGGAAAGAAACTGCTGTGTGTGATTTTTGCTGAGTACATAAATTTCTTTCAAAGGTAATTGTAGACAGATAATTGATAAAACGAATTTCCCCGGATGATCTAACGTGCATTTCAGATGATTTAATGTTTTACTTTTGACTTTCGAATATTTTGTACTTGTTATTGTTCAATTTGTAAGGCGCGTAGAGATAATTGTAAGATATTGTAGCGCAAAACGGACGCGCTCGTGCATAAATTTAAACACATGTTACGTTCGTTCGCATAGCTTATACAAAACAAAAATGTTAACATAATATGTTCGTGATCGTAATTGTAACTTACCTTCACCGCATCATCATATCACCAGATTTCATGTAAAATTGAACATAGTATAGCAAATCATGACAATTTCAGTCACCACTTCACAGGTAAGGTTAGAACAGAGCAATTGATCATAACTAAACACAAAACACGATTGAGGTATATCACAGAATTCAAGATTACCGAAAAGCTTTCATAAACTGAAAATCATAAGAATAAAAGGAGAAATGTCAGAAGATTTTTGAAGAGAAGCTTTAGCTTTTCTGCCGTTTCTTTAACCGAAATTTCACAGTTTGATTGAATTTTTACCAGTGACCAATCAGTGAGGTCGGTTAGAGTGACACAAGCCGCCATCAAGGGACTGGAAGCAGTATATCCGGAGAAAACTTTGATGCAATGAAAATTTTGAATATGTCCTACCGGTACGACATATTCGAATTTCAGCTTTCCACGACCCAAATTTCACTGTTTTGACTGAATGTTTCTGGAATGACCATCTTACAATGTCACTGAGGATGGCACAAGAGGTATTCAAAGTTTTACTCTCAAAGAAAGCTTTGGTAAACGAAAAATCATCAGAATATGAAGAGATTTTGGAAGATTTTGAAGAGGAGCTTTTCTGCCGTTCCCTTGACGGAAATTTTGGCCAGTGACCAATCAGTGAGGTCGGTGAGAGTGACCTAAGTCGCTATCAAGGTACTGGAACCAGTATATCCGGAGAAAACTTTGATGAAAGGAGTATTTGAAAATGTCCTTCTGGTAGGACATTTTCAGATATCAATTGTGACTTGATATTGTGACTATATATATTATATCGATCCATTTTGTTGTTTGTTGTGCAAACTGATGGTAAAATGTTTTTCAACACTATATTCGCTAAGTGAAGTCGATGTAATGCCTGGTCGGTGGAAACTAAAGCTATCTTGTGAGAAAAATATTGATCATTGAAACGATTTTGTCATAAAAAAGTAATATCCAGATTTTCAAAAGAATCAAACTGCGCCTGCGCAGATTTTACAATTAAAGTTACAAAATCAAATGTAGACTATTAATATAGTCTACAATCTCAGCTATATTAGTATAGTCAATCAATTTAAAATCGTCACTCAACTCGAATCCGTGAATTCATATCAGATTAAGTTTATGTTAATCAATCTGACCAGCAAATCTATTACTCAATAAGATGACAAATCTAAGACAATGTCGTAATTCGAGAGAGAAGCAGTCATAAGTCATTAGAAATTCGACATTAGCGAATTTAAAATCCGTGTAAAACTATATCCAAACTCGAAGCAAGCTATGAACTATGTATCTACACATTCTACAGTCTTGTGTTAGGTCATTCCCTTAAGTCGTTAATCCTCCCGAGGGAATAATCTTTCCACGTTATCTGAAGTATTAAACGAGTGTTAATTTATCATAAATCATAATAATAATTGTAATCATCTATCAATAATCCTATTATTTTTTACGTTTCTCGTGAATATGAAAAAATCACCATCGAAAATTTGATCTCCTCTTATCTTTGGAAATATTTCATCAAATGTGACTTTAAAGAAGAATAGGAGAAAAAATTTCAATCATGTTCTGTCATGTTAGTTGTTACGATAGAGAAAGCAGTAGATTTAGAAATGTTCTGTTGTAGATTTAGCTGTCTACGCTGCAACTGTTAGGATTTGTGATTCATATCACAGCAAATTTGTCATCTAGCAGAGCAGTTGGGTTTCTTTAAAACTCACATAGCTGATAGCGTGGTGAAGTGGATAGCGGTAAAAACACTAAATCATGAAAAAATGAACATGGACAGGTGCCACTTCTCCTTCCCCTTCACCGACAATTCGAGAGCTGACGTCCGATCCAAACATCGATGAATCATGAACCGACGTACTAGATGACTGGATCGACATGCACGTACACAACGTGCGACACGATAAATAATTAAGCGCGTGACGCGCGTGCACGGAAATAGCTCGATGACAGATTATTTGATTTGTTGTAATACGTCTGAACATGCGTCTTACGCAAAGTTGTGACAGCCAAGCAATAAAGTGTAACAGAACCTGTAAGCCAATAATTAATTTACAACTAACGTTTTCTACACAATTCAAAATTTACAAATACATTTTTTTCATGATAAAATCGATAACATGTTGATAGCTTACCAAAATTCTCGAGCTGCTTCGACGAACGCAGTGTTGATGTCGAAATAAACGTACGGATAGTAATCTCCAGCCATGAACACACCAGGAATATCGCCCATCTGAATCATTGTACAGTGTTACTTGTTAGTGTGTCTTATTATCATAGAACAGAATCAGTTTTAATTAGAAGATAGCAAATGATGCAAATTAGCCGGGGACTGACTACATATCAGGACCAGTAAACTGATTACTGGTAGGCCTAGCGGTCCGATATCAATCTTACTATATATAAAGCGAGACGATATATATGGATATATGGATCCGTGCCATTTTACTGACACCAGGGCATCAACTTTAACGCGACTTTCCGCAAAAACCGTAAAAGATATACAACTGAAACTTTTTTGACTGGGTCAAATGCTTTAATGGCCTTCAAATCAGCATGAAAAAATTAAAAATTGGCCAAGGAATAAGAATTTGAGTGCCCCAAATTTGGACTCCCAAGTGGTGTCAAAAACGCGAATTAAATAGGTAATAATTATTTTATTCTCTCGAGTCTTGACACCACTTTAGGGTAAACGGGTTCCTGCTAGTAACTATAAACTATGATGTGACACTGACGTGTCATAAATTTTGTGCTCATCAGTATTTAGCAATGAATAGCATTTACATAGTCATTTTATCAGTAAACGAGATGTAGTTATAATATCTCAAAATGATAAAGATCTTTACAAAATTAACCTCCGGTCCCTCAGCAGCACTTTTGTCCAGATTACTGTACAAAACGTGCAATTTCTCTCGTAGCTTCTTTTCTGACTTTTTGTTTGGTTCAAGCACGGCTGTCTAAAAGTAATTAAATTGTTAACAAAACTTATGAAATTTTAAATGAGTAATAAATATCTTTGCAACAGTGGTACTGTGTACAGTTCGTTACATTTAGCCCAACTCAGAACTACAGTGAAGCTGAAAGTACCACAAACGGGGGGGGGGGGGGGGGGGGGGGGGGGGGGGGGGGCACCCCCCTCCCCCCTGGCCCCCACAAACCATGAACGTTGCAGGGAGACCGTATCTGAGAACCGACTCAGTGAACAGTCTCAAAGCTTTGACGTGAATCCAGTTAACAAAAGCTTCGGAGAAGTTCCCTTTCAGCCATCTTATCAGCGGAACATAAGCTTTTATTTTAGCTTTCTGTAAGTTGGTAATTTCGTTTTGCTGCTGATTTATCTTATCTTTGCTGTACTGGAAATCTCTGAAAATATTGCACATCTTACATAAAATGGCTAGAACCGACCATCTGTTGTGAAAGTTCAATAAAAACAATTCAAAAAACCACATAGATGAACAAAATGTCATCAATACCTCCAAAAAACACCTCCACCATCCAACTAACCTGACAACAAACTTTTTCTCCCTAGCATTGTTCTTGAAAGCGTCTAGCGTCTTCCTGAACATGGTGACAGTGTAGAGAGCCTGGTCTCCCTCTTCAAGGATACGTTTGGAGGATTCAGGCACGACAAAGTCTGCTAACTTCCAGTAACTACCCTCCCATTCCTTGTATCCTTGTTTGGGAACAACCACACAGACTGTTACTAGATACTCCGATGATGTCACGAAATCCTGGAGATCCGATGGTCAATATCTGGATAAACTGTCAAATAGTTCAGATAAATTTTCGGATCGTTTTAGACATTTGCCGACAGAGTACCTAATTCAAATTGTCCGCCAACGTTCGAAAATCTGAATCACAAAGCGAGAATCTATAAATGACTCCTTGATGCTTTCATGAAATAATGTGTTGGTTAGTATGCTGAAATTAGTTAAACCGACAGACTAACCTCCTCATTAACAATGGGTCCCAAGTTTCTGGTGACCAGACTACCTGTTTCTTTCTTCTCGTGCTGAGCTAGATTCTGAGCAAATGAAGTTAGTTAAAACTGAGGCCATCGCGTCACTGATGATGCGGATAAAGACAATTGTTTAAAATTATAAAGTTATTTGTGAAAGGCTGACTAAGATTCTTTCATGTGAATTCTATAATTTAGAACAATCAAAGAAGCGATACAAAAAATGTTAACTTTCTTACGCTTCTCAGATTATTGTAAGTAGTCGATTTCGTTTTAAAATCCTTTTCAATCTTTGTCATGTTCTTAGCTATGATGTCATGGATGTCTTTGATGGAGACTTTGGTTGGGAACTTTGCAACATCCCAAACAAACGAATTACAGTAGCTTCGGAGGTCCTGCAGAAATGAGAGGCTACATCACGAGTAAAGAACTGTATATAAACTTTAAACCATGTTTTATGATCAGATTTTTAATATGGAAATCGATTATGCGTGATGATTAAATATCACATTACTGATTGATACACAGAGGCACGTTTAAACTAATCCATTAAGGTTAGAGACTGTGCACGACATCAACTTCCCATCAAATGATACGATCGGTGACCGACAACTAGGAACCTCTCATTTCGGCCTCCCACAGGTATCACATCACATGGCCCAATCAGTGACGTATCATTTGTGATGTGATCCATATTATAACCATCCTAACAGCCGGACAACCAAGAACCTGGGTAGGGTTCACATGACAGTTTAGTAAGTAGCTGTGTATTATGAAGTTTGAGCTCTCGGTATGTGTTCACATTACGGATGTGAGCCGGGTCCGAAAGGGGCTGGTTCTCGTATCCAAGGATGTGAGCTGAGCATGCAATGGGAGTGATACGAGACATACAATCACAAGTGCGAGAGTTGATCAGCTGTTAATATACAACCGCACTTCTGGTATATATACTGAAACGAGAACATGAAGAGTATCGGTTTCAATTCAACATGCCTGCTTTCTCCAAATTCATCTAAGGACAGAGAGGATCTCAACAGCTGGTGGACACGGATGACGGACGGGTACATCTACTCGGGTACATCTACTCCAAATAACATACTACATCCAAGCTAACTATCCTCAGTTAATGGTTGTGGTAAATTATTTCGAGAAAATCTACCTTGGGTCAGTAACTGTCGACAGTGACGAAAGGGTTCCTCCCAAGTTTCCTTTGACGTTCTGGAATCACTATTCCAAGACGTTGGAGGATCCGGAGTTTCCCCGGACCTCTCACATGGTCGAGGGTTTTCATCGTGGATTTAAATCCAAGGTGAATCGACCTAAGCCGACCGTGCAAGAGTACTTCCGTGCTATTCGGGAGCAGCAGGTGATCATTGATTACCATATCGATCGACTGGGTGTTGGAAAAACTCCGTCTAAGAAAAGGATTAGAAGGAAAACTTCCAATGACCAGTTGTTCCAGATCTGTTCCAAATACTCGGATTGCTCTAGCAAGGTTGACTATCTGTTTGAGATTGCCAAATACTTTGGCCATGAGATTGATATTGAGTAATGTATTCTGTATGTAATTATTATGTTGGGTTTGAACTATCATTATCTTGAAAATAATCTTTGTCTTAATTAATGAGTGCAGAAATATATACAGCACAGCTGTGAAATCGGTGGACACCTGAATGTTTAAAGTATCTCCAGAGGTTCCTAGTTGTCGGGGATATGTCATGATTGGTTCCTAGTTGTCGGAGCTGATTGGATTTCCCAAGCTTGCATGTTAATTAGTTAACAAGGTAAAATTGAAAGGTTCCTAGTTGTCCGTCAGCCGATACGATGCACTCTCATAATCGAATTTGTGCTGGAATCTAGTAAAAATCAGAAATTACCAACTAAAGGCTGCTAGCACTGAAAGAAAAACATTAAAATTGCAAACCCCAAACCTTGTTGTTAGCCTTGGTGTACTCAGGAAGTTTCTGTAGGTCGTTCTCCTCCAGCGCATTTGCCATGTAGTTGTAAACTTTTACCATTATCAACTCTGTGAACTGGTCCAACTTAGCCAGATCATCTGACAGGGACATCAAAGCATCTAGAGTACCAACCTATTACCGGATATATAAGTTAGCAATGCTAACATGCTAACTTAGCATCTAGAGTACCAACCTATTACCGGATATATTAGTTAGCAATGCTAACATGCTAACTTAGCATCTAGAGTACCAACCTATTACCGGATATATTAGTTAGCAATGCTAACATGCTAACTTAGCATCTATAGTACCAACCTAGTACTTGGGTTATTCCTTAGCATGTCGGATATCGTATTTAATACGAACTTGTGCAATAGCAAATCTGTTCCAGATATCAGGTCCTCCGCAGTGAACGGTACAGTAACAAAGTTGTGGTAAAAACATACCTTCAAGTTAGGTAGGTTGAATTTCATCACGTTAGCCATTGGTTTTGTGTTCTCTGCCAGCCTGCTCCATTGCTGCTGATGAGTCTCGTCCTTCGGAGTCGAGATCAGCCAAAATACCATGTCCCCTAAATAAGATAACCCTTTTTAGCGATCAGCTAAACAGCTAATAAACTCAGTCAACTTAAGGTATCAACTATTGAACCGTCCTTTTCTTCAGCTTGAACATGCTAATATTATTATTATTATCTGTCGGCTATATCAAGAGGTCTAGTTTAAACACGATACAAATTAGATATGGAAAGAGGAGTCAAATAGATACATAAAAAAGACAGATTATATATTATTATATCAATTTCTAATATTATAGGGATCAAGAATAATGTGATTCTTGATTGTCTTTCGATTAGTAAATCTATGTAAATTTTTCCCCAAAAACAAGCCGACAAAAGCTCTAAAGAATTTCCTATATTCTTACTTGTGTTTGATAAGATTATAGCCCCTAATAATATACAAGAAATTTCAAATTATGTACAAAATTGTTAATAAACATCATATATCTATAATCAGGATCATGCACTTTTAAAAAATCACAAGCGGTACAAAAGTGATTGAACAAATTGACCACCATAAAATCGCATTTCTACAATACCTAGTTTCTTTATAGGATAGATCAGATATAAGATAGATCATACCCATCATATTATGACATATCAGATCCCCATCTCAGAACTTCAGAAGAGGGCATGGTTGGTTTATCGTGATTACCATAATTACCATTATAACATTATAAAAGATATTACACAGACAGCATTTAAATGAGCCTTATTAAAACATCACAACGCACATTATCTTAATGAAACAAATTTGTATATATAATAATCCAGTATTTTCAAATTCAAACTTCTTGCCCAGCGTTAAATTTTATACAATTATTCATCAATATTCGAACAACACATACATTTTCAACACTAAGAAACAGTGCATGAAGACTGACTATCGTCCGTTACAGAAAGACTATTCATATTGTTCTCCAGGTGAAATACCGTCTCTTTATTCTCATTCAGTGGCCAGTGTTCCTTTCCTTCCTTCTTGCTTGACAAGCTGGTTACAGGTGGTTCCTTCTCCTGGCTCGCTGAGTTGGATGACGTCACAGAGGAGAGACTGCTGATTTTAACAAGAGGTTTGAGTTTGAGGTCGTTGACTGAGGTGGGGAAAAGGGGGGCTATGAAGGGTTTTAGAGATTGGAGGAAGAGTGAGTATCCACCACTTTCCTGGTGGCCCCAACAATCTATAGCCATCAAGATAGACAGCATCAATGAGGAGGGGTCCTTTCTTACAACCTTATTAATTGCCTCAACGTCTCGGAGGACCAGAGCAAACAGTAGCGCATAGTTGTAAACCTCAGCATCCATAAACATGTTAAGAAAGTGTGCCAGTTTATCGTCGCTCTCAGGAGTGCCCCGTTTCAGGGCCTCTGCCAGGATGGTAGGGTCTATCTCAACCCTGCACTCAGAGTAGACTGATCCCTCGTATATACTAACAGTATCGGAGATAAAGTCTACTCTTTCCTCGTAATCGTGAGGTTCTGCCATGAATTTGGAGTCGGTGTCAGAGTTAACTGATATCACATTGATGTTGGATGATACCTTGGGGTGTGATAGAATTCTTGGGATAATATCGGGATATGGCCAGTGGAATTCCTCGTGTATTGACATAAAAACATGGGCTGGATCGTCTATATCACACATATTCTGACGCTCGTTCTGCAGGAACTGAAGCAAGTCAAATTTGAGATAATAGCACATTTCACCCAACCTAACAAACTGACAGGACTTGAGGAGTTTGTGCGCATGGTGCGTGATAATGCGCTGCGCACGTTTCTTGTCACTGAGTCCTTCTTCGTCGGGAGGGTTGGTGAGCATGTCATATGTTGCATTCTCGATACCAGGTGTAGCCGGTGATAAGGGACACTCGTCATCAAAGCTCTCCGATGATCTGCGTAACCTGTCGAATATTTAATATTCAATATTCAATAATCAATAACCAATAACGGCAAGTTCTAATAATCTATATTCTACTATATTCATCAACAGAAACTAAATTGCTTTTGAAAATGTCAAGTGATTTGACACCCATGATATTCCTAATAGCAAATAGTACATAGTACATAGTACATAGTACATAGTACATAGTACATAGTACATAGTACATAGTACATAGTACATAGTGCATACCTAATAGCTAGCTCTGAAGGTCCAGTTAACTTCTTCTGCCTGACTCCGGGGTACTTCTCACTCTCGTTACTTATAGCGTGTAAGAACCGCAACAGGTCCACCCCCAGGTCCCATCTGTTTTCTTCTATGGAAGCTTCTAGAAGTTTGACGATGTAGTTTCTGCTGACTTGAAGAGGGTGGAGGTTCTGGAGTATGACAAGGTAAAGGATAGCTGTGTCTAGTGAGTGTTGCTCAAGACATTCGTCAAGAAGATCCTGGTGGAAACAGCATTTAGAAAGTTGTTTATTGCGAACTCTGACAGAAAGTATGATAAGTAATATTATAGATGTAAAACATAAAACAAAATTCCGCCGAAAAGAAAATATTTTCTAACCCCTCTATATTACCCAAAATGACGTTATGTTGAATATTTTAAAGATGCTAACCCAGTTCACTGATTGCGTTAATTATCAAATCAAAGAAGATGAAAGAGTGCTCAAGAAATGTCCAAATATGGACATTGTCTCAAAGAAATTTGGTCATTGTCTGTGGAATTAGACATTCGTTTAAAAGACTAACTGTAACAACGCCGGTTGACTGAAAAAGGTATTCCCATTGCATCATCTCGGTTTTGCGCGCGCAGTGCGCCACAGCTGATAGATAGCGGGGGAGTGGCCTCATGAACCGTATTACGTGAGGGAGCACAGCATCTTCCAACATACCATTGGGGTAATGTGACATGTCGGACTCCAACGCCTGGGTCAGAACAATAATTATGAGTTTAATGTCATGTTTCATTATAGTCTCAATTTAGCTCACCTGATTTATTTTTATAAAGGTTTTGTCCAATTAACCTCGCTACCATTTTATTCCTTACTCCCTAATTATTTCATGATTATTATCTTTTCAGCTGATTGGTCCCCCAATACAACTGAACACAGAACAATTCATACCTTGTGTATCATTAGCTCTAATGTGTGATGGAAGTAGGGCAACTTTTCACACATCTTGGCGATGGAGTAGGCGTGTTTCTCAAGGTTTTTAACGACCAACTCATGTAGCATAATGTGAAGGAAGGTTTCAGATCTACACCGAAGAGAGTCGACAGGGATACCTGGCAGTAAAGAATAAATTTTCTACAAAATCTCCAATAGAACCTTAAAAACTAAGCATAGATTAATTGGCAATACTACCAGACGCAAAAGCGTGGCACGGTAAAGTTAGCTCGTTAAATGATTGCCTGAATAACTCCTTATATGGGGATCTTACTGTTAAGCAGTTATTGCAATATTATCATGATAGTACGAAATACAGCAGTGGAAAGGGGGGGGGGGGGGGGGGTTGGTGCAACCCCATCTATACCCATGTCCATTTGACCATAAGCTGAGGAATAAATGAGCAAATTGGTCATCATTTTTATGATTAACATCACGGTAAAGCCTTAAACACACCAATGCTCATTGAAGCCCATTTGACCAAAAGTTGAGGAATAAATGGGCATGCAACCCCCCCCCCCTGCCCCCCAGTGCAGCAGTTTTCAGACTTCAGAGACAGGAAATACCTCCTCCATTATGACAAACCTAAGATGGCTGCCTCGTGATGGTGAACCACCAGAGGATAAACGTTTTGCTTCACGGTCACCAGAGTCCTTCTGGAACTAAGGTCCTCTTTAGAGCCGTGTAGAGGGAGCCAGACACGCATTCCACGCGCGCCACAGTTCAACCAGAGCGCGGCTCCCAGGTATTTACTAGATCTACTGGGACACGAGACAGACTCCACGTTTGTTGCGATTGTGATCGGTTTGCCAACTTCGCTGGTATCTGGCGATTTGCGGTCGTGAAGGGTGATGTAGCGGAATGATATCAGAGAAGCAATGTTTTACATTGATGCTTATATTGAAAATATTTGATGTTTTACATTGATGCTTTTGCAGTTTCACAGTAAAACTAAATACTAATTACATATAATATCGCGTAACTAAAGATATGTTAGCTGCTATAGTCAGTATATTAAATAAGAATATAAATAACGATTTGAATAGGGCACTTACCCGTAATCTCAAACATAAGAAGTTTCCCAGCTACATTGATTAACACTGACTTGAGACCAGTAGAAGGAATGCTTGCGTCCGACAGTAGGGGGGACACGTGCACACTCAAAACCGCGCAAGGGTGTGGCGTGTACTTTGCAATGGAAAACTCTAGAATCTTCTGGTGGCTCATCTCAACATCAAGAGCCGGGGAGACGGACATGGCAAGAAGGAAGACCGCAACCTTGCTCGCTCCGGTCACCACGATAAGGTAGTCCTCGTAAGTATTGATAGCAATAATAGATGAAGGTATGGGAATACTGCACACCACAGAGTTCTGATCTATACTGTTGTGGTGAGGGTACATGTAGATACAGCTCTGTTTATCATCAGGGTGATAAGCAGCCACTATCAGGATGCCATGCCACCACAGCATTCCTCCCCGGACTATCATTGATTGTTCCTGAGCTTCGTTCCCGAAACATCTCCATTTGTGTTTCGCTGATATATAAAACGCAAATCCCCGTGTTCCAGCAACTGCAGTGCATTGGCCCGACGCACCAATAGCGACAAATCTCAGGGGACAGTTATTATTAGAGTATATATCGGGAACTTGGATAACTTGCCAGGGCCAGTTTTCTAAAGGGCTGCCCAAGGACGCGATGAAGGATTGATACGGAGTATCATAAACCTCAGACTCTCCCAAGTAAATACTACCGTAGACGGAGAGACCTGATTTTGGCGGGAATCTGTTAGGTAGAATAAAGACCTGGCTAGAAGACTGGAGGATAATGTGTTCCTGATTGTTACTGACGTTGTTGACAGTTAACGGGCTCTTTAAAAAGGGGATCTTATAAAGCTGGACCCCAGAGATAGCCCACAAATTGTAGCCCTCAAGATCAAAACATCCCAAAGAGATTGGAACTGAGCAGGTGTACAGGAACGTACCATACACTGACCACATGTACATGGTACCGGAGGCGTACACAGCACACAAACAGCAACAATCTGGCGTCCAGAACAGTTTCAGTACCGCACTCTGGTCGGGGGTTCTACCTCCTTCTTCTCCATCCAAATATCCTATCAGCTGATGTGACAAATTTAGTAAACCATTATCGTAGTTCAGAATGTTGACAAACACATCTCCTGATTCTGTTCCGAACACTATGAGATGATATCGGGGATTTATGGAGGCACAGGTTGCGTTCTGGACGTTTGTGGCCAAAAGAGCGTGGACTGTTCGGGGTTTGAAGAAATCATTCGAAGACAGGTACGCTCCTCGACCATTGGAGAAAGTCACAGCAGCGATGTCAAGAGCATGAGAATAACACAAATTTTTCACATAAATATCATTCTCCGGAGCATACGAATGTTCGTTTGGGTCAGTAAAATAAAACTGAGAGATATCATGTGTGTAATCCTCCAATATGAGCCCGTCATCCCAAAAGAACTGCTTAACAGCCCCACCAGCAGTTGTAAACAACATCAGTTCATTACTGAGCCCTGTCAGTGACGTCACTTCCTCCTCAGCGTTGACAACAGTTGTTGCTTCCAGGATAATAGAGGGGACCGTGCCAATACTCTCGTGAAGTGGGTTCCCGGTTCTGTTGTCAGTGCAGCGGTAGGAGGAGGGGACCGCCAGGTCTAACCTGATTTCAAAGAGAATGATGTAGCCGGTGTGGGTGACCACTGCTAATCCTGAACCATCCGCTCGGAAGTAGAGGAACTTGTTTTTACCGTACTCTGTTACGGATTCTTCTGATCTCTGGTAACGGAATAACCTGTAATTTGGAACATTTTACCTGTCGCTGACAAAATAATTAATCTCTTGCTTCAGCACAACAACGCCCAATTCCATTGTTTAAATATTACAGATTATTAACTCCCCAAACTATACCTGGTAGTGGAGTGAGACCGCCATAAGTCAAGACAAGTTATAGAACAGCAAGCAATGAGGAGTCGGTCTGAGCTGCTTCTAATGCATATCAGTGCCTGAAAAGGAGAACTTTTAGCAAAGATTGAAAATAATGGCTTTACAATTTAACGGTATACATTCGCAAGTTGGCGTTACATTTTGGTGCTATATGTCCTAAAGATCTAAACTACAAGCCCGGCAAAAACTATGATTAGAACAACAATTTGTCATTCGAATTACCTCAGTTGATTGGAGTAGGACTGCAAGCTGGCCATGTTGAAAAAACATTACTCTCAAACCATACCGCTCTGTATTGTTATGTACCAGCTAGGAGTCCAGATCTTTATCAATTCATTGCTTTTTAAGAATAAATGTTCGTGTAGTATGATGACAAAACAACGCGGCTCATTTGTCGAAAGTAAAATATGAAATCAGCGATAATTGAAATATACGATTTGTGTGACAAGTGGGGCACAAAATAAAACGAGTTTGTAACATTGAAAAACACAACGGTAGAAAATTTAAATAAAAACAGAGAAAAAGTTTTTCAGTGATTCGCTGAGCAGTTTGGATTACATAATTTACACATCTCAACCGTTTTCAAGTTCTTGATGAAAAAATTGTGCCGTTTACAAATTTACAGTACGACTCAGTAGAATGATAACGATGTATGGATTCGGTTGACAGAATATTTGAATACCGAACAGCAAATTCAAAGATACTCGACTTATCAAGACGTGATGTTAAGACCAAAGTAGCAAAAGAATTATCAGAGTAAGCTTTAAAACTGAATAAATATTAAAATATAATTCCTTAATAATAAGTCTATAAGTCGTGATATCCCAATTTTTACCATATAATATTAAAATTGTTCTATAATTGAATAAAAATTATCAAATCCCAGTTAAAAGCAATCAAAGAGAGTTATACCACTTAAGTAGAATAGCAGTGTAATTTGTTTGTGATATTCCAAACTTAAGTCATCCATAAGCCATAAAAAACAATGATACAATAATTGTACCTTATCAACTTAATAGATAAGTAATTAAAATTTGTTTAAGCATAAAATTACAAAATTCAGCAGACAAAGCAGATGAAATTATTATAAATATAATATATATCTGGTTGAATAAAACAGAAATGACAAAAGCAGCATTACCCTGGTTATGCTATGACAAAACACTGTCAATGGTATTCAGAGTCTCCATGTCACAGTTCACTAGATCAAACGTTACATTCTCGTCTTTCAATTCCATGTTAGTGCTACCGTTAGTAGATAAAATGTTGACAACTTCTGATATGGCGCTTTTATCATCCGTTTTCTGCAACTGATGGATCTTATTGTAAATGTTCAGCATGAAACGAAGGTGGTCCGGTGACATTATGGAAGGTTCCTGTCTTAATGGAGCAACCATCTCACTGGAGTAAGACTGGTCGGGTCTGTAGGCGTGTTCCTGGTCAAGGGATGACTCAGAGACTCGCTGTCGGAGAGGAGGTGAGGGAATGTCGGGCATGTGGGAAGAAGATGGTGGACTGTGCAGTTCTGGTTTTGTGGCTTCGTGCTCTGGTGCGGATCTGTGAAACTCTGGAGGTTTTGAGTAGGATTTTGATTGCTTTGAAGCAGAACTTTCAGAAGAATTCTTTTCTTGTTTCAAATTAGAACTGTCAGGTTGCATGGGAGAGGTCGAAAACTTTGAGGAACCATCACTCTTCATTTTAGGAGGCTCTACACCCTCATCCTTAATGTCGTAAGGCCTCCAAGCTTCTGGATCTTTCTTAAGAGCTTTGTGCTTGTTCTTCTTTTCTTTAGATTTAGTTTTCTGTGGAACCCTCTCATCTTCTTTAAACGCTTTCTCCTCAGGTTCCATGCTTAATATTCGAGCGACTTCCGCTTCATCAGCATCAATATCCACATCAGAAGAGGGGGTCCTGATCTCACCGTCCTCCTCAGCATCGTCTTCAGTGTCGCTAGAAAGAGAACTTGATCGTTTTCTTGGTTTTTCCGGTTTCAACTCTTTTATGTGTTTGGACTTATCTTTCTTTTTACTTTCCTTACTTTTGATGAGGTCATCATCTTTTTCTCTTTTTTTCGATTTTTCATGATGCTCCGATTTTATTTGAGATTTTTTCTTAGGCTTAAGAGTGCTTATGTTATCAAACTCCATGAATGTGTCATCCGTTTGTTTCGATGATCTATTATCTTCGTCTGAATTGGAGCTTGAATATTTTTTAGAGTGCTTGGCTTCATGGTGTTCTGATTTGATTTGAGGGGTTTCATGAGGCTTCTTTTTAGGCTTAAGAGTGCTTATGTTATCAAACTCCAAAAATGTATCACCTGTTTGTTTCGCTTGTTTACTGTCTTCGTCTGAATTTGAACTTGAATACTTCTTCGAGTGCTTTGTTTCTTTTTCAACTTTGACAGTTTTTGGAGGTCTGGGTTTTTCTGAATCTTTGTTGAAAGTGACGGGCTTCCTGTCTGAGTCAGACTGAATCTTTCCTGATGATTTCTCTGGTTTAGATTTAGATTTTTTCTTCACCTTCAAAGCATCAATGCTATCAAATTCCAAAAACGAGTCCTCTGGTTTTTGTCGTTTTGGTTTTTCTTTCTGAACAGGTTTAGATGGACACTTCTTGGAACTCTGGGGTTCTGTTTGTTCATGATGTTTAATTGGTTCTTTTTTAGGCGATTCCTTGAAATATTGTGAATTCTCATCGTCTGAAGATTCAACATCACCAATCGCAGCTAGTACGGACGAGATCTTTTGTTTTTGCCTGTCTTCTGATTTTGGTTTTCTTTCGGCTGAAATAAAATTGTATCATTTCAAAGTTGCAATTGTACATCATAAATAATATATGACACGAAGCCTTATCATATGACATTATATTTAAGAACTGTTGATAAGTTAATGACAGCTACAGGGAAACTTCTATGACAGTTTAGGACATAGGTTCGCCAACATCGAAGATTATTCGAAATTTAATAATCGGTAAGGTATTTAAATGGGTCGTAGTTCGATTTGAAATTCATAAAATTATGTTCTGAATTAGTTTGTCAGACAGATGATTTAAGATAGACCAGATGCTCAAAATTGGAGATACTAACAGAAAGTTCATATCAACTTTTATTGTATTATTCCAATTTTCTCATTCTTTACTTATAATTTCTGAAACTGTTATGAGCTTACCTTTATTCTCCTTATTATTAACGACTGGGGTTGTAGATGAGGGAGGCCGACTACTCTTCTTATGTTTCTTGGAATCTTTAACCACCGCTTGACTCACATCCGGCTCTTTCTGTACAACCGGTCTTTGCTCCACATTTTCCTCTTCTTCGACTGAATTTCGTTCCTTCTTTTTCTCTTTCTTTCTGACCCTAACATCCTCCTCGTTCTCCTCCTCTTCTTCGTTTTCGACCGCTCTCTTCTCTTTTCTCCTCTCTTCTTTTCTTTTCTCTTTCTTTCGCGCCCTAACATCCTCATCATCCTCCTCCTCGTCTTCTTCTTCGACCGCTCTCTTCTCTTTTCTCCTCTCTTCTTTTCTTTTCTCTTTCTTCCTTGCCCTAACATCATCATCATCCTCCTCCTCCCCTTCGTCCTCGACCGCTCTCTTCTCTTTTCTCTTCTCTTCTTTTCTTTTCTCTTTCTTTCTTGCCCTAACATCCTCATCATCTTCCTCCTCCTCTTCGTCTTCGACCGCTCTCTTCTCTTTTCTCCTCTCTTCTTTTCTTTTCTCTTTTGCTGCGCGTCTCTCTTCTTGCTCCTTGGAGGGTTTTGGAGTATGTTCCCTGTTTTTATTGACTGACGGACTAGGGACATTTGATTCTTTAGGCGGTTCTATTTGGGCAGGTTGTTTTGGAAGGGATGTTGATGGTAAGTTTTCGTGTTGCAAGGCCCCGCCACCGCTGAAATTGTGTTATTAGTTTGTCAGAAAGTGATATGGACAGAGCTCCGAAAACTTAGGGAAAGTGATAGATGAAAAAATAAGTCCAGCTATATTATATATACAGAAGGAGTTAATGTAATGTAGTCCGAAAAGTCCAAATCCTCCTCGCGGCCTAAAATGGCGTTTCTATAGTATCATATTACACAAGCAACTACTATTCTTAACCATTATTCTTACTCGATGAGTTTTGTCATGAACTCCTTGTTGGGATTAGTGAACGTCAATATTTCTTTCCTTGCTCTATTGATCGGTGGAACCCCATCTGCAGGCAGAACTAGATCGTATTTGTACCTGGAGATAAATTAAAGCACGGTCATTATGTGTTTTGCTATTGGCGAAGTGACTTAAATTTGTTTTGGCACGCAAAATTGTACTTTAGATTTCATAATTTTCTGATCACACTCAAGTAAACCTAATCTTGGAGCTTGACTTCATAATTCGTCAAAATACGTCATCAAGCATCGCATCAGGGATTTATAACTGAGCTGTTGTTGAACGGTAATATTTCAAATCAATCCACAAACTTACTCAATTTGTTTTGGGTTACGTTTGTTCTTGAAATTCACCTCCACAAACAGGATGAATGTTCCGTAACCTTGCTCATGGATCTCGTACGGTGGTTTCTTGATCACTAAAGAATACGATTTTACATAAAATTTGCAATTCAGTCATATGGAAACTCGGGTCATAGTCAAAACTAAACTGGATTAGATTGGATATGATTGGATAAGAGTTGAGATTACAACGGTCAACATTACGATGATCGCTGAATTTACCTTGAACAGGATTCTTAAAACTCTCATGCAACTTGAAGACCACTCTCTCTATGTAATGATGTATTTTACAGCCGTGGTCGCCTCTAACATAAAAGCTCCAGTCGTGGGTAAAGTCATCGACAGAGCTCGCTGTTTTTGCTCTATGAGATGCGGAGTGTCCAAGCGTTAGGGCTACTTTCACTTTGGAAATCTGAGAATTGAGACGTAATAAAATTCTCCTGAATCTCGAAAAAGCATATATAACTTAATTAGTTAAATTTGAATACCGTACTAGAAATGCAGTATCAGATAAGAATACGGTATTGTATATAATTAACTTAGCTAGCTGGTACATGGATCTTACTCGTTTACGTGAATCCACTGACACGTTATCATTCTGTTTGGTAAGTTCTTCCTTCATGACATCTGAACTAAGAAATTATTGTAAAAATTACTGTTACCATAATAATATGTTAATATGACGAAGAGATTCTTTCTTGTAACTACAACAGTAATTATAAGATCCAGGAATTTTGGGCGAACTTTTTAACTTTCTTTCCATCGGAGAGAAAGTCTCCATGATGAAAGAAAAGGCGAGGGATGCGAAAAACTAACCATTACCATGTTGATTAAAATATATTAGTGGTTTTCCTCACCTAACCTTTTGATTATGACGTCATAGTACTGCATGGCATGGTGTCGGTATTCAAACAAATCATAGCAAGGTTACTTGCTACACGATACGCTCTACAGTCTACATACACAAATAAAACTTCAGAATAAGTTACTTAATCAAAAGATACTGCACTGGAACGTGAATTATTAATAATTTAAAGAATAAATTAGATAACTACCACACAAAATGAGAAAATACAACTTATTATTATAAACTTATTAAGGAAATGTACACTAACGATCATTCATTTAAATTTGGCGACAAACACTAGAAATAGATATTGGAATCAAGTTATTAGGAAAGTAAGTTATGAATAATGGCATAAAATTGTCAACTTTTTGACTAAGAATCATTTGTATAGCTTTACACATGTGCTAAAATAAGAGAGTTTCAAAGATCTTTATTTCCCACATAATACGAGACAATTAAAGCCTTTGAACGTGGAGATTGCTTCTTAAATCCTTCATTGAAAAACTATGCAACAAGAACACATTTTATAAATACAACTAAGCACTGACACCAAAAATTCTATAAAAAAACAGTTTCAAGATTCTGCATAAAAATAGTATGAGGATTCAACTAAAAAACAATAATTTAAATTTGTACAATACATGACAACATTTTATAATCATCATTATATTCAAACTAATTTAAATGATTTATTCAAATTAATTTAAATAATTTATTCAAATTAATTCAAAAAATTTATTCCAAACACACTTCTGTTGCTTAGAAAGTAAAAGGGTGATATTTCACGGCACCAAGGTCAATAGCACAAGAATGATTTTATTAGAAAAGAAAAAGCGGGAGAATCATTTGGTTTCGATTACAATTAATTCACCCTTCTTGATAATATACCCCCCCCCCCCCCCCAATATAGTGTTAATTGTAATTAAGCCATCTTAAAACCATTGTATAAATGCCCTCTGATCTACAGATTACGAGATTACAGATTACGAGATTGTTTTGAAGATGTAAATGGATAAAATCAGGGGTCACAATCACTGAATCACGTCTGTCCACAACATCCTCCACAAAAGTTCACAAAGCTCCAAATGTTATTAAAAATGTCGGTCTCAGAAAGCTAGAATGTTATCCTGATTGTAGCCAAGTGCCTGAAAAGCGGGCAGACAGGCCTGTTTGATAAGACCCGGAGGTCCACAGAGGAGAATAACAGTGTCGTCAGCTGGAGGAGGCATGTACTTCTCTATCATTGCTTTGTTAACTCTACCGGTTGCGTAGCACCAATCTGGGGAGCCAGGGATTGGTTACTAACTGGTCACTAATTGGTAACTAACTGGTAAATAATTGATTAGTAACTGCAGATCACTCCTACTATTATATTCCTATATTACCCTACACTCCTACTGTTACCCTACATTTTATGATGCAATTCGCTTGATGAACATTGTACCACTATTTAGATTTCATGGAAATAATGGAAAAGCAAACCTTTAGGAATGGGAGCCTGGGACAGGGTATGACAAATTTTAAACTTGGGACAACACATCTCATCCAGTGCTCCTCTACAAAGGATGTCGTTCTCAGTCTGATATTATAATTTTTTTAAAGTTACACCATGAACATTATGTAAATTGTAAGTACAATTATTCCATTTTTAATACTAGACACATTGAAATTAATAAAAGCAACGGAATTAGGTTTCGTGACGGGTTCTTGTCAAATGACAAATAATAACCTAATTTTAAAATTCTGGCCTATATTCTTCTAACATTGAAGACTGAAAATCTTGAGAAACGCATCAAACATGATATTTAGTCAATCGAAAACATACCTTGTTAGAAAATAAAAGCGTCATTTCAGTGTTGTCATTACGGTTCTTAACCACATCTCTGATCAACTGCAACATCGGAGTTATCCCAGAACCTCCAGCTATCATTCCCATACGTTTGCAGTTTAACTTGATGATGTTATCTCTTGATTTCTCCACTTCGAAAACTCCTGGGATATGCCATGATTAATAATCTACAAATAATCCGAGTGACGAAAATTACAGCAATGTAATATAAAACGGGAAAAAATCTTAAGTTCCTATTTCGTATACTCGAGATCTCAAAGTAAGTACCTTTTCCAAGATATCGTATTTTGCCGCAGGGTCCTCTAACTTTAATTTCATCACCAATACTTAAAGAATCCATGTAGGTCGACATTTTTCCGTCTTTGTAAACTTTTATCATGAGGTCCATGTATCCGAATTCGTCGTCACTGGTAATTGGAGTGTAAGGTCGAACTACTAGTTTTCCATCAAGTATAGCTGACACATTGATGAAGGAACCTGTGAAGCAATTGCGGGTGTAAATTGGAAACCCCTAAGCCCTAAGGTTATATTTCATGGATTTTGAATAATTTAAACTTTGAAGTATAAAAATTAGTATTATTTGGAGAGTTTGCCCGGATGAAAGATTTTTAGGAAGACCTACCTACAGGAAGTCCAAGTATGTGGTCAGAGCTCGGAAGAGAAAACCGAAACTTTCTCGTATCATGTGACACTATCTGAATTTGAATTTATAATTACGATAAACCAATAAGAAATGTTTCTTCATCAGACGATTCAATGGTTGAACAGAGATTTTGTTGGTGAATAGTGTCTGATTGCACGAAACTTGACAGCTATATATTTAACACCAAGGGTACAAACGCTTCTAGAAGATTTACATACTGTTTTTGCGAGCAGAGTAAGGGCGACTTTGTCACTCTTATTGAGGGTAGCATAACTTTTCTTCTTCCGAGATAAACACCACATCGTAATCACAACACCAACCAGCGCTACTGTCACCCCGACAACCTGGGCTACAGTTTACTCCTTAATCAATAAAACTCCTTAATCAAGATTAGTTCCATCATAAAACATTTGGTAAGTTTTCAAATAGATGATAGGTCTATGAGCCAAGGATAACTTTAAGTAGGTTCTTCAGCAGAAAAAGGCTCGATACATACAGTGTGCAGCATGCATAAAATCAGTTACAACAAAGGCTGTTTCAAACTGAAAGCAGATGTTAATGAAGTTCCTTTGTCTTGTTTGTATGTACTGTGTATTGAGTTAGCAATTAAGTGTAAGTTGCAGAGGTATTCATCATGTTGTGCTCGATATTACGAGATTGTAAACAATCTGTAATGCATTATCGGATATTACATCTATAGAACAGTGTTTATAACTATCCCAGCGATGCCATTCACAATCTTACCGTTGGCCAGGCGTTCCATAGTTTGATGACACTAGTTGGATTAGAAATATTATAATAGATGTGTACATTTAAATTTGAATGAATGATTCATCGCGCTATTGCCTATAACATAGATAAATTAAAAACATAGAGTTTGGCTTGCCATAATATCTACAACGATTCTTAGTTTGTAAAACATTCTTACTTATTGTTTCGATTTATTTTAATAGACAAATGATACATCGTTACATTATAGAAAGACAGTGTAATCTAAAATGTTGTCAGAAAATAACATGCATTATTAAGTAGAATGCAAATTTAAATACAATATAATATCAAAAGCAAAAGTTGAAATAAAATAATAATACTAACATTTTTAAGAGTCAAAAAATATTTACAGCTAAAATTATGTAAAAATTAAAAATAAATCTTATTAGTCAAACAATTTTTAATCCAATTTTATAAATAAAAAATATTTTGTTGTGTAGTTACTAAAAATCTAAATTTAGAAACAAATTATTTCCTTAATTATAGCAAAATTTGGAATAAGCATAGAACATGTTAAATTTTATTCAAGAAAAAATATTTTAATTTTTAATGTAATGAAAATATCAATATTACTACAACTTAGTATGAAAATCTTAGTATGACAATCGTTGCAGCTGTCCAATTAAAAATATATCAGGTTGGCGGGACATAGACAAATCTGCATGTACCAGGTGCTTCCTCCAGTTCTTTCTTCAACTCACCCATAGTGTAGTCATTCCTACCGACCAATATTATTGAACAGTAAACTCTGGCTCTCGACACAGCCAAGTAAAGTGCTGGAATCAATTTCATCTTTTCTACAATTACAGCAACCACAGCTGGCCATTCCATTGACCTGCAATTATCATTGCATTCCACATCAATTCTACCTTTTATTTCATTCTTCTCCAACATTTCTTCAACTGTTTTGGTGATTTTATCCTTATGCTTTTCAGTGAATAAGTATGAAGTTTTCTTCATGTCACCCACGTTTTTTTCTGATCGGATTTTGGCAAATCTATCACTGCATACATCACTGTAAAGCAAACCAATATCACTGATGTCAAGATGGCTTTCATGACCTGCAAGCTTCCTCAACTCATCAGCTAAAACAACAGTATAATCTATATCATCATCAATCAAGTAAATCACAGGTATGGTGCCTCTGTAAAAATGACCAATCTGCTGTTTGGGAAGATAACTCGGCCACTCGGTTGCCAAATTGTACCATGGTCTTTTCTCAAAATAACGCCTTATACCTTCTAAAAAGCTAGAAATATCAAAAGTGTTTCTGAGATTGACTGACAATGTTTTGACCTCGAATATCAGCTTCAAAGCATTTAATTGTTTTGAATGTACATTGGTTTGATGAAACATTTCATGCCCATCTTGCTGAGCAAGATCACAGAGTATCCATATCCAGCTGCTTGCATCTTCCTGATTTTCATAGATGGACATGGCCAGTTCATAGATCATATCTATGAAATTAGATTTTAAGGGCGATTGAGGATTAACCAAGGTGGTAGGACCAGATTGTGCAGCCCACCATGCAAATATGTCCAAGTGAAGATCATCGATGAAGATGTGGTGACCACCGGTTTTAGTGAGACTGCAGAGCAAATTCACTAAATAGTCAACCCCTAAAAACCGTGTTTTTAGTAGGATGATAATGCTAGCACATTGAGTAATCTTGGGCAGTGGATCCTCTAAATCAATGACTGATATCATTTCACATAAGTCTTTCTTTAGGTTATTGAAAAATGTTTGGTGATATTCTTCAACATTATTTTCAACAAAATCTGGAAGCACTAATATCACCTTTCTGTTCAGTGATGTAGTCACTGGATCAAGAGCAAGCTGAATGATTTTGCCGATCATAACAACAGTCTTGCCTGAACCAGCAGGACCATCAACCCACAGAAGTCTGTTTTTACTCTCAAACATCTCCTGTTGATGGCTGGTGAGGCAATTGACGTTCAGATATTCTGTAAATATGTCTGATGCTTTTCTGATCATATCATTTTCAGGGTAATTTTTATTTTTCATTTTATTTTTTCCTGAAGAATTTTTCAGCTTTAATTGACTCTCTTCAATTGATCTTCTTGTAACATGTGCTTGTCTTAGTTTTTCATCTATATCTTTGATGCATTTGGTTAAGCTGCATTTTGTAGCATCCCATTTATTGTCAATATTGATGCACCAAAGTCCAAGTAGAGCGGATTTTAAATTCTCCATTTTGGCATTCTTGTCATCAGATGAGGTTGGCAGAGATGGGATATTGTCATCAAACCACTTAGCAAAGTCAATGAGATCATCTTTAAATATAAGGTTGCCATATGATCCAGCAGCTTCTTTCCTTGAAATGTTACAGAGTACTGTGAATTCATGGACAGTAACAGAATGATCAATAGCAGTAATCAGTTCAACCATTCTTTTTCTTTGTCTAAGCGCATCATTGCAGCATCCATCAAACTTCTTTCGGATCATTTCATCATCAGAGGTACTGGACAAATTTAGTCCTTTGACCTCAAAAACAGCAACAAAATAATTCCCTATCACAATGAAGTCACACTCCCCTTCATTGTTCTTCAATTTGTTGTGGCAAGAATGTGGCTGTTGAGGGTGTTCAGAACAATCTTTTGGACAATCTTTCCTGCAATTTTTTCTGCAATTCTTTTTGTTGCACAAGTGACTCGGCAGGAACGCAGAATACTGTTCATGTGAATAATCTAACTGATGCAAAACTAATATATCTCTGTCAACCCCCTCCAAACATCTATACAGTATAACTTCAGTCTCAAAACCTTCTTGAAGCTCCTTTTCTGCAGCATTTTGGCCTTGAAGTGGTATGCCATCAGGTAGTTTGTCAATAAATTTTGATTCCGGTATTGGAGGCATCATAAGGGGTCCTTTCAATTTGTCATCTCTCAGAATATAACTTTGAAGGATTCTTTTTCCCACTTTCGACTCGATTAACTCCCTCAGTTTTGAGGTCATTCTGAAAGAGACAGGGTTTGGAAAAATTACACTAGCTATGTATGTATAACATGGCTAACGAGGAGGATGGGGTCTAAAACTGTCAAAGTCTGGCTTAGGAAACGTGTGAAAGGTCCTTTAATACTCTGGATCGAAATATTATCATAAAAAGACATTTAGATAAGGACACGTTCATTGAAGTTTGAGGATATTGGTAAATATTAGTGACCCTACTAAATGGCACGATGATGTAAAATGTGTCACACTATAAAACTATATAAACCCTCAATGGTTAGGATAATCGTTTCATCCTCTAGATAAACTTTGTCGCATAACGATATCTTTATCAGACGATAAGATATCGCTTAAATGCGGCCGGCAGTGAGTTGTAAACTTTGTCACACTATAAAAATGTGACAGAGTTTATATGGACCACTTGTTGCCGTGTTTGACCAAATTTTCGAATTTCAAATTTATAGGATAGTTGCATATGACTATTATCTACATATTTAGCGACTTTTTTCGTTAAATGGTAGCACCATGTAAAAACCGTCACACATTTAAGAAATGTATATGAGGGATGTTTATGACATCCTGACAAGAAATGCCGAATAGTCTAGCATTATTTTGTGAGCTGAATGTGTTTGGAATTGTTCACATATTTCATTGTTATAGGCAAATACAAATACAGAAGGCAGAAATAGGTAAATTTAGTCACATAAATTTGTATGATATCTCAACACATGTGTGAAATTGAGTAAATATTAGTATACCAACTTAAACACCCTATATTACGTACTATGGATCAATTAACAATATTTCAACCATACGCCGGTCACATAAATTATTATATGGCAGTGATATGTTAACATTGGCAAAATTTCAACACCTGAACAGGGTAAAAATTTGTAAATTTCGTCACAAAAAAAATATTATAACTTTATTTGCTCCGTGTTAGCAAAATAACTAATTTATCGACATAGTGATGGTGATAAAGTAACATTATATACTAATTGAGGTATGATTCTTCAAAATAGGGGCAAGAAATGTAAATTTCGTCACATCAGCCATAGCATTAGTTAGATAGATTTTCTTTCATATCAATAGTCCTTATTATAGTTAGAATGGATTTATACAGGAAATATAGAAACCCATGCCAATTTTTCATCACATTGAAATTATACTGTTGGGGCAGGAAAAGTGAATTTCGTCACATTTCAGTAACTTAGTAAAATTAAACTCAACATTGTTAAACTTGAGTTCTAATTTGCTGAACAATAACCAACCAATAATTCCTGGAAGAAAATTGAATTTTAACCGAGGTATGGTTCTTCAAAATAGGGGCAAGAAATGTAAATTTCGTCACATACGTCATTTTAAAATTTAGATAGATTTTCTTTCATATCAATAGTCCTTATTATAGTTAGAATGGATTTATACAGGAAATATAGAAACCCATGCCAATTTTTCATCACATTGAAATTATACTGTTGGGGCAGGAAAAGTAAATTTCGTCACATTTCAGTAACTTAGTAAAATTAAACTCAGCATTGTTAAACTTGAGTTCTATTTTGCTAAACAATAACCAACCAATAATTCCTGAATTCTAACCGAGGTATGGTTCTTCAAAATAGGGTCAAGAAATGTAAATTTCGTCACATACGAGTACGTCATTGTAAAATTTAGATAGAATTTCTTTCACGTGAACAGTCCTAATTACAGTCCGAAATGATTAATACAGAGATACAGGAAATATAAAAACCCCGGCCCATTTTATAATGTATGTAATATGTTAATCACAGACTATTTCATTCTATAATCATTGTTTCCAAATTTAACCTATTTATGATGTCTTATCATTTCGTGACGATGTGTACATCAACTGCCCTATACTTGAATCAACTGTATCCGTGTATCGTCCTAATATAGAGTTTTCCCGCAAAATTTAACTTATTTACGATGCCGTATCATTTTGTGACGATGTTTACATCAACTGCCCTATACTTGAATCAACTGTATCCGTGTATCGTCCTTATATAGAGTTT